CTATCATCGAAGAATTCCTTTTTGTCACCTTCAATTTGATATGCTTCATGGCCCTTGCCAGCAACTACCTGCAACAGCACAACCAATTACTTGGAGAAGTTACAGAAGAACAAAAAAAAAATCATGCCTACAAAAGAAAATTCCGACCACAAAAACTCCCTGGTAATCAACTATATTGGACAATCCCGTCTTTGTTTAAGAGTACATATGAACAATATTTCTAAAATTGTGGCAACGGCATGAGCATATTTATACAGAAAAGCCATCTCAATTCTCAACAACTTAGACACAATATTACTATAACTAAACCTAGATCAGAGATATCAACTTTCACATGAGAAGTGAGAAAAAAATCAAAGATTCCTGAAACTTACCACCATATCACCTTCCTCCCCCATCGCAACTGCACAACGTACAGCTACACGCCTAATGTCATGCAAGAAGAGCCTGTGACCATTTGGAAGAGGAGGATAATAATCATTCTCCCCATGTTTCAAGTAATCTTGCATTGTCCATCCAACTCCAACCAACATGTCGTCCAATATATCCACTAACCAACGGAAAATGCGTGCACATTAATGTTAGATACATCACTATGAAACATGGTGCTCTCTACACAATCAGTCAGTACAGGACTGAGAATTATAGCATGTTTCATCTAGCAATTTTGATAGGAAAAGATCTGCTTAGAATAATATTTTCTCTTTATCATGTTAAACAATTAGGTCTACCAAATACTCACATGGATCTTCGCTTCCTGGATTGTCTGATGTCAGCATAGTCACATCACTTTTATCAGTTGCTATCTTAGTCAGCAAGGGTCTCTTTCCCCTCTCTTTCTCACCACAAGAGCCAATAACTGCTCATACACAAATAGAAGCGAGTCAGAAGATGAAAAAATAGTTCACAATAAAAACTTCATGCAAAATAAATGAGCATATACATATATAACAATATAAAAATCCATCTGAAAATCACAAGTGAAATTGAGCCAGACACTAGAAAATATTAAGATCCCCTCAGGTTGATATGTTTCTTATCTCCTTTTCAGGGATATGGGAGAGTGAGACTACAAACATAGAAGCAAAAAGATGCCAGAAATGACTGATTTATGCTTCTTCACCTTTAGCCATGACGGCACAGAGCATGCTATTAATGTCAGCTTATCAAGCAACAAGGTGACTTCCCTAGTGTGATTGGATATATAATTAGAGTAACAGAAAGAAAAGAACCTTACCAGTAATTATCCTCCTTGGTTTGAGCTCCCTAACCGAATCCAGAAGTCTAGACAAGGCAGGTGGAGTACAGGCATGGTCCACAATCACCCCAAACGCCTGTTCTTCATCTATCACCTCACATCTCCCAGGAACTGCGTCAACTTCTTCAATGCCCCTCACAATGTCTTCCAATGGGGCCCCAACTGCAATCCCTACAGTAACTGCTGCAAGGATACTATAAATGTTATGCCTCCCAAGCAATCCTGATGATATCTCCAAAATACCCTGAGGAGTATTAACCAAAACAGTGGTCTCAAACAGAGAGAGTTCAAATTTCAAAGGATGAATGTCTGCATCCTTATTATCAATTGCAAACGTTAAAACAGGGACATTTGGGTTCCCTTGTGCAATAAAGAACGATGCATTTGGGTCATCAACATTGACAATCTTCCTGTGTCTGTCTGGATCAACCATCCTAGAAAACAATTTAGCCTGAGCAAGCCTATATTCTTCTTCCGTCCCTTGAAAATCCGAATGGTCCCTTGACAAATTAGTGAAAACCGCAATATCAAAATCAACCTCCTCACAACGACCACGAGCCAGCTCATTAGATGAGGCCTCCATCACAACTGCTTCAGTCCCATTGTGAAGCATCTTCGCCATCAACTTCTGCACCAAAATAGCATCTGGGTTTGCTTCTGGGGACTCCAACTTGTTATCACCATGTACATAATACGCAACCGAGCTCATCATCCCAGTTCTCAATCCCATGGCTTCATACATAGTCTTTATCAAAAAAGCAGTCGCGGTTTTCTCATGAGTTCCCGTAATCCCTATTACTGACATATGCTTAGTCGGGCACCTAAAAAACGCTGCAGCTAATGCAGGAAGAGCAGCATCAGTATCCTCCACAATCACCAATGCCTTACAACCAAAACTCTCCTCAATATCAATCTCCTTGCTAGCAACAACAGCAACAGCACCCCTTTTATCAGCCTCACTCAAACACAAATGTCCATCAACCTCAGTATCACTCCCAACACAACACACATACAAATCCCCGGCATTAACCAACCTCGAATCGTGCTCGATCCCCGTAATTTCAACCTCTAGATTTCCATAAACAGAAATAGGCACTACCTTACACTCATCTAAAAGTTCAGCTAATGTCATTTTAAACCTAGGTTCCACAATATTAACCTTACCATTATTACTAAAACCATCAAAATCAACATCAAATGAAGAATCAAACAAACTAGAACCATTCTTACCCAATTCACTTACCTCAACATCATCTTCATCATTAAACTCTCCTTCCTTTTCGCCTTCATCGACAACCCTTAATCCTTGCAATTCATCAATCTCCTCCAAATCAACAACCTCTTCTTCCTCCAATTCATCATCAACAACCTCTTCTTCAACTTGTTTCTTCTTAGGTGGATTAGGTTCCAACAGCCCTTTCTTCACAAACTCCTTCCTCTTCTGGGCAATCGCCTTATCGATTTCACCAAACAAATCATCCCCAGAACCGCTGTTTCCAGCAGAATACTCCTCATTCTCAGGAGCATCCTCAACATCTTTAATGGCGTCGAGAAAAACAGAACGATTCTTCTCGAAATCCTCCTCCTCTAACTTCCGAGCTCGGGCAGCTTGGCGTTGAATTTGACTGAATTTGGAGACACCATGAGCGGTATCTTCGGGTGCTTCAGGTGGGTCATCGGAAGCCGGGTCCGGATATGAATTTCCGGGTCTGGGTCCGGCGACGAAGAGGGGTTTGCGGCGGAGGAGAGAGATTGAAGGGCGGAAGAAAAGGGGTTTTGCGAAATTGGGAGAAGAAGAAGAAGAAATGGTGGGTGAAGAGAGAGAAAGAGGAGAGAGAAAAGCTTGAAGAAACATTGGAGGGAAACCCAGAAATTTCAGTGGAAGATAAGGTATAACTATTAATACATTGATTTTTCAGAGAGTTGCTTCTAAAATTCTAAAACCCAAAACCCTTAATTTTTTGCTCAAATAAATGACAAAAAATCTAAATTCTTGGTTTATATTTATCTAGGTTTTTGCTAGATTTGAGTTGAATGTGTGAAATTGTTTTGGATTGAAAGGTAATAGTAGTGGACAGAGGATAGAGTTGAGAGTTAGTTATGGCAGTAGAGCTGCTGAGGTGATAACTGAAATGAAGAAGAGGGACTGAAAAGAGAGAAAGTTGAGGTGAATAGGTGATTATGGCGGTAAGTGGTAGTTTGTTAAGTTAAACATTAGAGTAAACTACCATTTCATTTGGGCCCTGTTTGGGTGAAAGCTGAAAGCTGAAAAATGAATCTGATTAAATTAGCTGATTTTGACTAGCTGATTTTATTAAGTGATTTGACTAACTTATTGTATTAACTGGTTATATAAAAGTGTTTGGTAAATAGCTGATAGCTTAAAGGTGATTGAGTATGTGAAATGACCAATAAGTTAATTGTGGGGTATGTAGTTTAGATAGGATTTTAAATTAAATGAGGTTATAAATGTCATTTCACAATAATTAATGAATAAGCTAATTGAAAAAGCTCCTAAAATGAGATTTTTCAAAAAGAGCTTATTTAATGGAATAAGCTCTTTCAATAAGCTTACTACCAAACACTTTTATTAGCTTGTTTGACTAGTCAATCAGCTAAAGTTAATCAAATAAGCTATTATACCCCCAATAAGCTTATTACCAAACATGGTCTTGTTCTTTTTTACTTCATACTTTTCTTTTTAGAGTAAAGATTAATGATATAGTTGACATTTGATTAAGTTTTGAGTGTCACTTGCATTCATAAGATGTTTGTTTAGTTGATTATAGGAAGATATGTATCCAATTATAGGGTTTAGGATTTAGAGTTAGTAACTGCGAGGAAGGTATTATTTGGGAGTAAATACCTTCCCCGCAATTACTAACTCAATGTTAATTACAGAGTAAATGTCAAGTTTTCACATAATAAACATCCACTTATCACATACCATAAATCTTTGTGTCAACATTTAACACATTATTTCGCAGTTATTACACCAATACCATAGGTTTAATGATTAGAAAGACGATAATACCCTTATGATTGATCAATTTTGTGATCTATTATAATCCCTCTATTATACTACCTCCGTTAACTTTTATTTGCAACTTTGGAATATTTTATGTTTCACAAATAATACCCCAAAGTTGCAAATAAAAGTTAACGGAGGGAGTATAATGTAAATTTAATGGATCAAAATCTTTTTTTTATTCACATTTACCTAACCAACCCTTTTTTTTAATTCACCTTTGCCTAACAAATTCCAGTTTTTTTTTTTCTTCTTTTTTCTACTCCCACCCCTAACTAAACGTAGTGGTGTTCAAATATCAATCCAGACCAAAAAAAAGTTTGATTTGAATTTGACATTATAAAAAGACACAATCTGATCTATATAGCATTTAGGCGCATAGGATCTATGTATTTGACATGCACATAGGAGGGCAATTTGGGGTTCGATGGTACATTTTTTCTCTCTTAATTATACAGTGGTACATTTTTGTGTACTATTATGCATGTATAATGTACCATTAAAGTATAAGTTGTTTGAATAGTACTTATTATGTACTACTCCCTCCGTTTTTAAATACTTGCTCCACTTTCCTTTTTTAGCCGTTTTTAAATACTTGCTCCATTTTCTTTTATGGAAAGCTTTTACAATATTTAATTCATTTCTCACACTTAGTGACCCAACATAATACTCTCTCTCCTCCTATTCCTCTACTACTTTTGCTTTTTACAATTTTTTATTTTTTCAACTACCCCATTACCTCCATATTTTATTATTTTCTCCAATTTCTTCTAAAACTCCGCACATGGAAAAGTGAAGCAAGTGTTTAAAAACGGAGGGAGTATTATGCATGTGGCGGTATATTTTGTCAACATATTTTCCACCCTTACAAAAACACCCTCCTATGTGCATGCTAAATACAATAGGGCCTATGCGCAGACTTTCTTCCTAACATAACCGATTCAATCTCCAAATTAATTATTAATTTTTATGCTCATATAATGTCTTATCCGATTTTAGACCTGTAGAAAGCCCTTTTATGAGAATCTAAAAATTGATGAACATGAATCATGATAGTAAAATTATATTATTAATCAAAAGTTCCCAACTTCTCTACATTTGATTATATGTAAGTAAACCTTATCCATATTGACCATATATCCCATTATCTCCATATCCATGGCCGGCAAAGCTACCTACTGCCGGCCATTTGAAGGCGGAGCAAAAACAAAACTTTTCATGACTCATGCATTCATAACCATGATTACCCTTATTTATATGCATTTAACTTATAATAAGCTCGCCAATTTCAGCCATTTTAATACATTTCTATATGATGGACAAAATCGTTTCAGTCGTAGGTTGCGCACCAACTGTTTGACAAAATGCCAAGCTGAAATTTTGCCCATGAAAAAATTCTACAAATAAGGGGAGCCTTTCACTGGTTGACTATTCCCCATCCACCATTCACATTTCAATTTTTTTTCCCGCAAATTTATCCCACCCAAATAAAAATATACTATGATCTAAATGGTGGGGTTTTTTTTCTCTTTTTTTTGCTCCAAATTCATGTATCCCAGTTTTTTTTTTTCTTGATTTGATATGAATATGATCATGTCCCAATTTTGAATAAGTATTTTGAGAATTTTAATGTGCACCCCACTTCCTGTTTTTCTCATTTAAGCAAGTATTTCGATTACTTGTTCAAAATCTAGTCTCTTGATCAAGGTACATGCACATTGGTGAAAAAGAAGTTTCTTTCTTGGTCATTGATTTTTTATTTTTTTTCCTTCTCTTGGGTGATCTGAATGAGGAAATTGTGTCCGAATTTGGATAAGGAAGATGCACTCGAGACGATCCTCGAGGTACCTATACCGGAGGAAATGTTTAATAGCATGGGAAACAATGTTGCATTGCGTTGTCAAAATATGCAGCAATGGATGAAGGCTCAGACTTCGGATAAATGGTCATCACCGGTGATTCTAGGCCGGATCAACGAGCTCCGGTTCATTCTTTACCATATTGGTGCCCCCCTTATTCCTCTTCAAGTTCATATTGACAAGATTAGTCGCCCTGTTAGAGATAATTCCATTGTGAGTTTATCCACCTTCAATCCCCTTTCAAATGCTAATACATTTTTCTGACTTTGCAGTGTTATATCTTTTATGTCAGTATGTCTTCTGGCCTAATACTATTGAGATCTTTGGCTTGTTAGCTAAACTTTGATATATGAGCAAGTAGACTCTTGTCTAATACTTAGTTTGATGCATATTATGTTATAAGTGGCTTAAAAAGAGTTTTTACAGTTGCCAATTAAACACAAACCCCAAAAAAAGAGGGGAAAAGGTTAGTAATTTTTATATATACAGCGTTCACGTTGACAAAATGATTTCTGTGCTTCATATACTATAATTGGAAAAATGTGCAGTTCCAAAAGTATGACTTTTTTATTTCAATGCTTCATGTTCATTAAATACAATAGAACTTTTTGCTTTTTTGCATTCTTTCATTTTGGCAACTCCACTTGAGTAACTTTTCAAAATTTTAGCTTTGGCTTTATATATGTTTTTACCAGCTGAAGTAGGATGTATAAGTGAAAACTCCTACTAGAAACTTAATTGTTTAGCTAGAATTTGGATGAACTTATAGGAGATTGTGGATACAAAGATTTAGAAACAATTGGTGCTTTGTGTGGAAGATTAGGGAAACCGTAGGTGCTAGTTGTTAGATTATACCAAGACTTCTACCCAACCAAAGACATTGACTAACTACCATATTTAAAAGGCAATCTTCTGGGGTGACTGTAGCTCTGTACATGGAGATTTGAACTCCGTATGTGGAATTATTAACAGGCCTTTCAGTGTGTATCGTGTTAGCAAGTTTTCCTTTTAATTTAGAGGGATTTGTGATTATACCTTATACTTTTGTGATGTGCAGTTTGATCTTTCTAAGTTGACTAGAGTTTTACAGACTTGGATATTGACTTAAAATTTCTTGGAAGCCTAAAGAGATATGTTATATCTTCTGCATATGCTTCAATGAGGCTGTTTTTCATTTTCTTCATTTCTCTGAGGGCTTAGCACTGTTTTAATAGAATGACAGATTACCAGGTGACAAATTAGTGATTTAGTTCGCTGATTTATATATCTTTTAGTCTTAAGTTTGAAGTAACCTTGAGATAATGGTGCTCATAGATTCTTATTTGTCAGAAGTTATGTTTTACTCGATTTGTGCTTGAAGTCTTGAACTTGCTTAAAAGGTCATACACTTTGTGCCTTTGGCCAGACCGCGGTTTGATATTGCCTCCATTTGATCCTTGCTAGCTTCACCAACTTGTATGACTCATTTATGCTCTTTTTGGTTACATTTCCTTTTCATTTAGGATTACTGATTTTTGAGACTTATAGTGGGGAATGAAGAATATTTGGTTACGTACAGCCCCTGAAAACTCATTTATGATATTTAACGATTCAGTGGGTGCATTTTTGGTGTTACTTAGCATTTCTTTGTTTCTCTAAGTGTCTTTTCCTTAGAAAATTTTTCTATCTAGCTGTTCTGATAATTAAATTTGCTGTTTGCCTGGTTGGTCATTATTGCTCCCATATGATTCCAAGGACTCCTTCACATTTCTTCATTTCTATCTTCCTTTTTGTTGGTTTCCCATGTGATTGGGTTTATGATTTCATATGCAGCAAACATCAACTGCAAAGTATATCGTACAGCAGTATATTGCAGCAACAGGAGGGCAAACAGCCATAAGCTCCATACAGAGCATGTGTGTAATAGGACATGCTAGGATTGGAGCTACTGTGTTTCATCTAGGTGATCAAACTGTGAAGGGAAAAAACACTGATGAAGCCGGGGGATTTGTATTGTGGCAAAAGAATCCAGACCTGTGGTGTTTAGAATTTGTGGTGTCTGGCTGCAAAGTCTTCTCCGGAAGCAATGGCAAGGTTTCATGGAGGCAATCATCAAATCAACCTTCTGTCACAACTGGCTCTCCCAGACCCTTGCGTCGGTTTCTACAGGTAATTTAGTTTATTTATTCCTGAGTCCTGAGTGAAAATTAGAGTGCGTATATTACAATAGTTCTAGAGTACTCCATTACTGAAAAAGAGCTAGTCCCTCATGTATGTGCATTTCATATTCGTAGTAGAGCTTATGAGGATATGATAACACAAAATCAACTGGACTGAATTAGACATACTTAGCTCAAGTTGAATCTGGCATGTAAACATCGTGGTATATATGTTTCCTAACTTGGGCTTAGTATAATTTTCTACCATGGACCTTGTTCATTTTTTAGTTTTTGTTGTTCTATACAAACCCCCTTCATGATCAGAAGTCTAGCTGTTTTGTGCTATGTATCTTGGACAGCACAAACATAACTAATATCGATAGTGAACCACATAAACCTGTATCATTCTTGATTATTTGTTCTTGAATTCCTTTCTGTTAAATTTATACTTGTAGGGTGTGGATTGGAGTTCTTCATATACATTGACTGTGTACCTGCTTTCCTTCACATTACAACATATAGTCACTTCCCTATTTGATCCATGATTTTTTCAGGGCTTGGATCCAAGGGCTACAGCCAATTTGTTCATAGATGCAGTATGTATCGGGGAGAAGGTCATCAACCACGAGGACTGCTTCATCCTCAAGCTTGAGACAAGCCAAACAACACTGGATGCACAAAGTGATCCAAAGTATGAAATCATCCACCACACCTTATGGGGTTACTTCAGCCAAAGATCTGGTCTCCTCCTCCAGTTTGAGGACTCGAGGATGTTGCGTTTGAAAAACAGCGTTGACAACGATGATGGAGATGGAGTCTTTTGGGAGACAAGTGCAGAGTCATTCATTGAAGACTATAGGTATGTTGATGGGATTAATATAGCCCACAGTGGTAAAACCTCTGTTAGGGTGTTTAGATATGGTGAGCAGTCAGCTAATCACCAAAGAGAGATTGAAGAAACCTGGAAGATTGATGAAGTTGGTTTTAACATTTGGGGTTTGGATACTGACTTTTTTACACCACCAAAGGAAGAAGTAGAGACTTTAGAATATTGATCTTTGATTAAATGTTTTTCTTTTTTTTTTTTTAATTGGAGGGAAGGTTCATAGAGAACTACAGAGGATTATGATATAGACAAAATTCACTGGTTTTGTACTTGATGTGAGACTGTATAATTTTGGTCTCCAAAATTGTATATATTAGCATGTTTGATTAATTTCTCAATTTTGACTATAATTTGGTTCTATGGATACATGTTTCATATTTAACTATTTAAGCTTTGGTATAAGAAAAAGTTAGTTGTTCTTGTTCATCCATCTGCCTTCTAAAGTTAGTAATCTCTCTGTATTAGTGATGATGATGATGAATTGAGTCGAGTAACAACTCAGTGTCAACTAGACTCCATCTTTGATGGAACTTGAGCCAAGGCTCTATCTTTGATTGAGCTCAAGCCAAGTCAAATTAAAGTAGTTAAATTTTTAATAAATTCTTGTTAAGTTTGGGACTTGTTTCAATCAATGATAGCCAATAGAGTTTCATGTTTAATGTTAATGAATTATAATATTGACTAAATTAACAATCTAAACATAATTAATACTTTCGAGCTCTCAAAATGTTCTAAGTTTAGTACTATATAGTCTACCTAATGACATTGGATAGGCGACATTGTGTAAAGTCAAGTGTTAGCTCTTGTTAAACCCGACCCAAATCTAACTCATTGCCATCCCAAGTCGTGTCTTGCCACTAATTGAAAAAACACAACACGGGGCACAAACTATGACTTAGGCTGTTGTGCACCTAGGTATGACTTGTGTCTTGTGCAGTGGGGCGACCTTTAGGCTCGAGGCCACAGAGCGGTGTTGTGAGTTGTGCCTTATCTAGAAAATGGAGATTTCTTTCTCGGTGAAATTCCACATGGTGTATAAAAGAGTAGTACTTGAATGATATTTAGACTTTAGCAGATAATCTTAAATATGGAGATTAAAAACATAGATTTTCTATTTCATTTATACTTAACTGATCATTACATTCATACACATAAAGTTAGCCAAAACATTGGTCTCCTGGTAAGGGCCCAGGGATGGAACCATTCTGCGCAAACTGTAATCCGAACACAACAAGAATGGCTAGCAAGCTCAAGTATGACAAGCCTTCAACAGCACCCAGCAAACCGAAAGGCCCGTTGGGAAGACCCGAACCTGTCTTTGTCTTAGTGTACAAAGACCAGCCAATTATCCCCAACACAACCAAGTAGCTAACCCCCTCCAAAGCCCCTATTGATCCACCAGGACCAGGAGGAAGTCCACAGCCCGTCGTCTTAAGAGTGTAGAGTGACCATCCGATCACCGGAGACGAAATCAATCCTCCGGCTATAGCTAGTTTCTCGACTATCCCACCGTCTTCAGTCTCATTGCTGGTACCCTTTGCCATGGCTACCACCTTGATCATCGTCGAACATTGCGAGGGATTCCTTGTGTATACGCTGTTGCGAGCTTTAACTGGCCTGATGACTGTGGTGAATGATGGAGATAGCAACATAGTATGAAGTTAGCAGGAAAAACTCAAGACAAAGGGAAAGGAAAAGAAGAGAGAGGAACTCTGACTTGGTAACATAAACACTTTTATTCAATTTTACTAAACCACAAATTTTGGTTCGTTGCTAAAAACCTTATCCTATATGCACATGACCACATGAAAGTATTATTGATTCCCTGCCAACATGTATTTATTTCATTAATCACAGCATAACAAGACTTGTAATTAGCCCAAAAGATAGCCCAATTGAGTACAATTGTAAGGCCCAGACACAAGCCCAGCCCATACAATATACCAGATTTTCTTATGTAGTAGAGGCGTACATGAATGACATGATTATTATGATTAATTATACGATGATATAATACATGTAAAATAAGTGGGGCAAAAGTTGATAACACTCCAAGATTGCCACTTAAACAGGGAATATAAAACACATAATTAAGGTACGATCAAAGAGAGAATGTAAAAAGACGGAAATGCCCATATAGAGAGTGAACAATAACAAAGGAAGAAAAGAAAGCATCTTAAAAGAAGGAAGCCTTTTTATACATGATTATAAATCTCCAATTGAAAATTTGCTTCAACAAGCAATAAGGCGGGTAGTAACAAAGACTGTTGGAGTTCCTACTATAATTTCCCCCTTTTTTTTAACTTGAATATTTATATATACTGAAGATTTTGGGGGGAAAACACAAGGACAATGAACCCATCTCATTTAACTGTCATTCAAATAACCCAAACTAACGGCTATTTTCATAGAAGAGGGGAGCCAAAACCATAACTAACCACTTTTTGAACAAGATTTAAAAAAAAAAAAAAAAAGAAGAAACCCATCATATTTGGGGATAGTTTTCCCTCCTAAATACTCTGTCCAAGGAAAATAGTCTAAAACCTCGTAAAACTGAACTGCTGCCTACCAATGAGATATACACTTCGAGGTTCTCCATCTCTGTTCACTAGACACACACCATGAAAGAACCTACCAGCAAAATCTTCTTCACTGACGCTTCTTTGAGGATCGCCTCTCTGCATCATCAGAATCTTCTTCATCATCGTTGTCGACAACAGCATCATCATCTCTCTTCCTTTTTGATTCAGAAGAAGATGGCGCCATCACCTGCCCTTCCCCTAGATCATCCTCATCATCTTCAACTTCCTCACCATCGACAGCATCTTCAACTTCCTCACCATCGACAGCATCTTCAACTTCCTCACCATCCACGGCATCTTCTACCTCATTTACAGCTTCCATGTCACTATCTTCTGCAACCTCTGTTGACTGTCTTACCCTCTGTACCAAGTAGCCCTCTTCACCATCTTCTTCCTGCCATTGAAAGCATAACACAGTTCATGAGCAAACTCAAGCAAGAAATAACCCAAGATTCAGCCATTAACATTAACTTTATAAATACTTAACAGAACACTTCATCACAGGAAAAATAAAGACACGGCTGAAAATTTCCTGGAAAACACATCAGAAATCTCCAGCAAAAAAATCAAATTCAAACCAACTTGCACACAGCATACAAATTAAATGATAAAGCCACACAGAAAAGGCTTTGACAGCTGATACAAGAGCTAATCACAGATCACGAAACATATACTGAGATGTGAAGAGACACCACAGGAAAAGACCAAATAAGAAATCAAAACAACCAGACAGGAGTGAATTTTCTCTCCAAAAAAAGAAAAAAATAAAGAGACTTTTTAAAAGAAAAAGGCACTACCAAAAACCACCATAGAACACATTCAAGCTGAGTTTTAAAAGCAGTGAATACACCAACTTCTTTATTCCCATATTCCCTGCTAAGACCCTTAAGTCATAAACGATAAACCAAAAAATAAAAGGAAAAAAATAGACAACACGGAAGAAGATGCAATGAAGAACAAAAACTAACCTAAGCATAAAAACAATTAATTAGTAATTACCACTTAAAGAATCGCCCCAAGCTTAAATCTATGAAATCAAAGCATTTATCAGTCCCCAATTTTAAATCATTCAAACAACACTCAAGAACACAAACAAGGTTAGAACTCTCAAGAAATAGGAATCTTCAACAGAAAACTCAACACCGCAACAAATTAATACAGAGCCAATACAAGGAAAGATAGAAAAACCAACAGACATCACATTTCTCTTCAAAAACTTCCAATAATTTGAAGTTAACATCCAAAGCTCAGTCAATTTCTCACTTTCAAAGCAGCAAAACAAATTACACAATAAAAAGGTTAAATTTTTAATCATAAATAAGGAAATTGATACGACCAACAGAATTCTCCCGAGCTCATACTACAACTATTTTCTTCCTTTTCTTCCTCGGATCAACTAGCCATATATAAACCACACCTAACTAACAAAAAGTTAAACACACAAGCCAAACCGCCAAAGGTACATGAACAACTACAGCTTCTACAAAATTTAGGAAAACGATTGCAAGCACAACAAACACAAAGGTTGACATCACAACTACAGATTACTGCATGCATCACCCCTAAAGGTACAAAACAGCAACAAGAATCTACATAGCTAACATACAGAGAACAAAGACTCAGCTACACATCTCATCAAGTACCTAAAACGCACACAACAACATATTAGAGAAAATTGAGCAAATAATTAGCAAAAGAGCATACACAGCACCAAATCCAAAGGGTCAGTGAGTTATACCTCATCCTCACCCTCATCATCATCATCCGATTCACCCTCATCTTCAACATCAAGCTCCTCCTCTCCGGTCTCCCCATTATCATCTTCATCATCCTCATCCTCCCCTTGTTCATGTGCATCAATCTCTCCATCAGTACTAGTCAATCTACTAACACTCTCAGGCTCGGCAGCCTCAACCTCATCATTATCAACCTCCTCAACCTCATCCTCCTCGTCATCATCATCATCGTCATCCTCATCAAACTCCTCATCCCCATCATCATCATCACTATCTACAATATCATGAACCTCAACCACATCCTCCTCTTCCTCCCCATCATCCTCATCAATCTCCTCAACATCCTCCTCTTCCTCGCCGTCATCCTCCTCATCCTCATCCTCCCCAGCCGCCTCTACTCTAAACCCGTTCTCCCTCCCATTATGCAACCCCCCACCATTCTCCCTCCTCCTCGAAACCTCCATCTCCGCCTCCTCCTCATCGGCATCACTCTCCTCATCCTCATCCACATCAACAATCCCATCACCGACACCGGCACCACTATGCCCATTCGTCATCCTATAACCCCTCTCCTCCCCATCTCCATCCCCATCAACCTCCCCACTCCCAGGATCATCCTCCTCCTCCTGCTCATCCTCATCATCATCCTCCTCCTCCTCGTCATCGCTTTCGAGCCGCTCATTCTCCTCAGCATCCATCTTATCCAAATACTTCAAAGACTTAATCAACCCAAACACCCTCGCCCTATAATCCTTAACCCTAGTAACAGGACACTCATACAAATCAAGAGAAACAAGCTTCAACCCAGCTAAAGGCGCAAGATCCTCAATATACTGAATCCTATTATTCGACAAATCAAGGTCTCGCAACGAATCAAGACCCGCTTCAACAAGATACTCTAAACCCGAAGAAATCCTATTATCTGAAAGTATAAGTTTCTGCAAACTACCCAACCTAGGAAACTGCTCAAGCGATGATACTCCAATACTAGCAAGAGAAAGATGCTGAAGATTTTGGAACTTCTCCAAAACTGATGGTGCTGGTAAACGGCCGTGCAAACACTTAACGGCTCCGTCTAGGGTTAAGCTTTTCGTTGCTCCGTTATCCGTTTGCCCGTCTAACGCCGTTACCACCGCCCTCTCCCAGATCTCGTCCATCCAACAACTATCAACTTTTTTTTCCAATTTTTTTATAAATTAACTCTCATAAAATAAATTTAGGGATTTAATTTTAAATATGAAAACTCCAATTTTTTCAAAAGAAACGTTTTTTTTTTAATTTTATTTTGGAAATTTTGAAAACCCTAATTCTGGGTTCAGTGTGATTCGTTTAAAACCCTAAATTTCAGGTTTTTTTAAGCAGGGAAGGGAGAAGATGAATTTCTCTCTCTAGAAAATTTGATTTTCTCTCTCTTAAAAATGGTGAGTTTTTGTTTTGTATGAAGAGTTTCTCTCTCTAAAACTCTCTCTCTCTAGGACATAAACCCCAACGGGAGGGAGAAGGCGGGCCGGGTTAGGGTTTGGGTAGAGCAAATAATGGCCGTTGGATTGAGGGGAAATGGATCGGTGACGTGGAGGAATGAATGGTCAGGATTGAGAGTGGGTGTGTTTGTTTCTTGATTAAGGAGGAGTTTGATTGGTATACGCGTCTTTGTGCGGTGTAAATGGTTGGAAATTGGTGAAATATCGGGGTGAGTTTGGGAATTGCCCTTGTTGTTTGTTGAAATTACGGGAATGCCACTCTTTTTTTCTCATAAATTCACCGCCAAAGTCTTGAATTGTCCCACCACTGTTGGCTTCTTGGCTTTTTGAAAACAAAAGAAGTCAAGTCCACTATTTAGGCACTAGCAAATGTGCAATACTAAAGACTATAGAGGTTGAAAACTTGAAAAACATACTTCCTCCGTTTTTTTTTATTGCATCATAGGGGTTTTGGAGGCAAAATTTGGTAGTGGAAAAAAGTAAGAGAGAGAAACGTAAAAATACAAAATTGTCCATGTAATGTAAGATAAAATAAAAAGTAAGTGTGAAAAAGTAAGGGTATGTTGGGTATTTGCAGTGTGAACATAGATATTTTTTATCCTAAAAGGAAATGATGCAATAATAAATAAACTTCCTAAAGTAGTAAGTGATGCGATAAAAAAAGAACGGAGGAAGTATATGATTACTGTACAATTTTTTATAATTTTATTTAGGTTTTTTTTAGGGATTACTTAGGAGTATTTAGATATGGAAAAAGTGAAATCGAATCTCTCACTAGGTTAACTCGGACTAGATTACGACTTCATAATCAAGACTCCTTCAAGATTGGGATACAATATAAGATACGGATGTACGGAGTATAGTACATTATAAGGAAATGTTCTATTTATCTACCTAAAATTATAATACGTAGGTGTTTAAAGTATAAATTTATTACAGTAGATTTGATTGAAATGTAATAAATGTAATCTATTCAAAATTTATAAGATTTGATTGAACTCAAGGAGTTTGTGTTGATAGTTATGAATTACTCGCTCTATTTTTTTTATTTTTTATTTTTTTTTTATATACTTATCATAAGTTGAGAAAATCTTCTAAATTAAACTCAAAATAGTGGAGTATATAAATAAAACCATATTCATGTTGGGACTTATGTGATTCTTCTAAATGGTTAGCTTGTTAAGATTCAATTATTAGAGCAAGATTAACCCTAGGTCTTAAGATTTCAGATGACATCATCATTTTCTAATTTTGCGGTCTTAAGACAAGACTTTATTATTTTAAAGCATTTATGAAATTTGGTCTTAATAAAATCTGAAGTGGAGTCTTGAAAATTCAAGACTCAACTTCAGACTCAATTTCGCACTCAATTATTATTTTTTTTTATTTTTAAAAAAATTTAATAATTTAATTTATATGTAAAAAATGAGTCTGAGCGGTTGAATAGATAAATTTTATCGAGTCTTAAGGAGTCTTACATAATTATAAATTAGAAAAATAGTTAAATTTAATCTAAAAAGCTGACGTGGCAATGAATAAAAGTCTTAAGATGAGACTACGCTAATCTTGCTCTTACTCTTGCTCCTTTGTTCTTAATTAATTGACATAGTCAAATATGACACACATAATTATTACTCATCGGGTCAAAGTTAGGGTCATTTGGAGTTCAGGTATGTTTCGGGTTGACTTTCGAATGAGTCTATTTTGGGTCATGTATGTTCAGTTCAGGTCAATTTCAGGCCAGGTATGTTTGAGTCATGTTCAGATCATTACATCTTGTGTCAATATTGTGGATCAAACTCGAATTTATAATTTATTCGATTTGTGAGTACAATTACGTTTGGGATGAAAATGTTTGAGTCAAATTTGGCACTAGGCAATTTTTGTTCGGGTATAAAGTAATTTACTTAGGACATTTCACGTACTTGGTCTATTCGGGTCAAGTAATTCGGGTTCAAATCAGATTGGGTCAACTTCTGGTCGAGTCATTTTGGATATCACGTCGATTTTGGATTGGGCACAATTAAGTTAGATCATTGAAAAATATCGGGTCAAGATAGGGTCAACTCCACTTTGAGTTGGGTAGATTTTGGGTTTTCAATTCATTTTTTTGCAGGTAGATTTTTGCGTTAGGATTGTCAAGTTTACACAAATCCTTAGTTTAGCCACTATTACAACCTAATTTGCATTCAATTTATTTATTTATTTTGAAGAAGTATTGAATATTATTATTATTCTCTTGAAATTTTGAACCTGATTCTAGCTTATTGGCATTAGTTAAAATTTTAAAACATATTTAAACTCAAATTCCATTTGAAGTCAATTTCATGAAATTTTATGTCACAAAAGTGGAATGTAAATTAATTTTTAGCTAGCTAGAATATTAAGAAATTAGTTACAGAGTACTCATATATAGTTTTATAAACAAGGTACTTTTAAGTTAAAAGGAACTAGTTCACAATAATTAATTTTTTTTTTTGAAAACACAGAGCAATATTACTACTCGTAGTAAATTATTTTGGTGTAGAAAAAGGCCCGAAAAAAAAAAAAAAAAAAGCATTGTCTTGAATATAACCTCTCAAACATCTAAGTAATCATTGTCTTCTACTCTACTACTCTAGTTTGCGTTAAAAATCCATTTCCAGTTCCACTACACTAATTTTAGTCGTCGATAAGGATTACTTGTCTAAGCGTTATTTAACTTGCCAATCAAAGTCGTTGTAGTATAGTGGTAAGTATTCCCGCCTGTCACGCGGGTGACCCGGGTTCGATCCCCGGCAACGGCGTGATAATTTTTTAACTTTTTTTTATTTTTTAAAAATAAATAAAATAAATTTGGAGAACTTCATACTCCCAAATCCTTCAAAGTTTTTCCAATATACTGCATTTCATATTTTCATTAGACTAGACTCTATGTACATGGAGTTGTTTTGTGGATAGACTAAAAGATTTCATGTCATTGACTCATTTAAGATCTACAACTGGCAACTTAGTATATAAATTGTTTCTTAAGAATCAACAAATCAGTTACTCTTACATTGAAATTAAAAACAATAAACTCTGTTCTATCCATAACACATCATCATATTATACAGGATGAAGAAACCTTCAAGACTAGTAAATACCTAAAGACCCAAGAGCTACACTACAGCTAATCATCTTCCGCCAGCTGTATCAGAACCCCTGCCTTGATTATGTCTACTGGGTTCCTTGAGGTCCGACGAACCAGCTGTTTGGTATTGTCCTGATTGTGAGTTTTGATTACTAGGCCGCGATGTGGAAGTTGCTCCAAATACCTGAGCGGCAACAAATGGATTAGGCCTCGTAGACCCAATGGCTTTTTGCTCTGCTTGCATACTTGAATTGAACTTCAATCCACTCCCTTGATTGATCTCACCACTGTTCTTCCCAGCACTAGAACCAGTTTGAGCCCCGGGTTTCCAAGAAGTGGATGATTTATTCGTATTAGGAGCATTGCCATCATTCTCCCCCTTGACCTTGTCCGGATGAGTAGCCTCTGAAGCCTGATTTGTTTTGGGTTGCTTGCTCTCAGGCTGCTTTTCTCGATCGAAAGTAGTAATTTCTGGGGGTTCAGCTCTAGGGGTTGCAGAACGGCCAGATGCGATAGTAGTAGTTGGAAATGCTTTTTCAGGAGGGACAACTGGAGTGTAATTAGACGGGAGTAAATTATCCCAGTTCTCAAGCAGCTCTTTGTAGACTTTTCTGAGTGTGACCTCAGTGAGACCTGTAACCTTACATATCTCTGCCTGGGTCTTGCGTCTATCTTCTAGTTGACAGGCCAGATATATAGCAGCAGCCGATATGCTTATAGGGTTCCTACGAGTGCAGAAACATTTGTTCATCACAACTTCTCCAATGTGGGTTGCAAGTTCCTATAAATGTCCAAAATGGTATAAATTATGAGTAAGCATTTCTTTGAAGAACCTTAATGACATTATCTTCCAAAGCCACCAAATTAATGAAGAAATGCAATACAGGAGGACAATTTCAGGGTAATTTTGACAAATAGCAAGAATTTTCCAATTCTAATTCTGGTGCAAATGTGCAATAGCCAACTGATGACCAGCAACATAAGATATGTTATACTTCAGCATCAATGTCAAAAATAGCTTCATTAATAATCAGCAAAAACAGGAAAGCAGTTGGAAAGCAGCAAATTTTACAGTACAATATATGGCTTGCCTGGATTGAGGATGAATAGGAGGGGAAAAAGTAATGGGTTAGATATTTTGAAAGGGACGGAATGACGGAGATAATTACATACATGAAGTAACTTACTACCCTACAGAATTAGAGTAACAAATTAACAATTACCACCCCCCCCCCCCCCCGCGATTACTTTTCCATCCTTTATGGCCTCTATTCATCTCAATTCTTCTAGTCCCACTTCTTCAAGTTTCATTGACAGCATAAATCTCTTGCCAGCTAAGCGTTCAAGCTACTTTGAATGGCAGTTGACGAGAGAGAGAGAGAGAGAGAGGGTTGGAGGAAAGGATTTCGATAACTGAAAAAGGAATTGTTACTAGATTCCCAAACTTGTAAATGTTGTAATAACTAAATTTTCACCTCTTAATTAATTACCTTGAAAATATTTCCTGTTTAAACTTTTATACCCCTACTTATTAGTTATTACTCAAATTCAAGCACAGCCATAAATGACAGTATCTCAGAAGCTTTCCAATTCTTCATAAGTTACCTCTAATTGGCATCACTGGGTGACATTGAAAATTACATTCTATATCACCTAATGATGCATATGAGCAGACATTACCAGGAATTTCTATTTACCTGAGCAGATTTATTAAGCTGGAGAAGATTGCAAAATCTGGGCATATGTACAGCTATGGAATTGCTATTAATTGGTTGGCTGAGTTGTAAAGCTTCTCCCAAGATCTTGATATACTTTCCAATCTCTTTCTGAGGAAGGTTTGCGGCAATTGAGATTTCCTGTTACATGAAATAAGAGACCCTATTACAAACGCCCTTAAATTTAAGTGCCCTTTCTTATCACATTGGCAACTTTTCTTAGATCTATTCACATCATATATTATTGCAAATAAAATGAGCACAACCTTTTCTTCAAACTTGTACTCGGGTAATAATTTTTCATTGTTCAGTACTCCATAAAAGTTCCAGCAAGGGATGAAATGAAGGTGGTTAGAAATGAACAACTAGCACAACTTGGTGGTAAATACAGCAATCAGATTTCATAAATAGCTCAGCATCCAGAACTTAATCTAAGGAAAACAAGAACTAAGAAAAGGGATTGCATAAAGTTCACCATAAAACTGTATCAAGACCGAGACTTTCAAATCCAGACCAATCCTCCGAAAACATCAAATATACATTCGAAATTCAGAATGCATCTAGCCATCTACAATGAGTTTCTTAAAATTATCAATGTAGCCAATTGAAAAGTTCAACCAGAAACTACTCCTATAGAATTAAAGCAAGAGATAGACAGTTTCAAATTGAAGGGCTTAAATTCATGCACTCCTACTGTAGTAGTCCTACACAAACACCATTTCTAAAACACAAAATAGACAAATTCAAAACACTAGCATCATTCTAAATCTTCAAATTCCTAAAAACTCCTGAATTCACAAAGCTCAATCATGAAAAGGTTTGGTTTATAAACTCCAAATAATCCAATACAATCATCCTAATTTCAAAACCCCGGCAAACGCTTACTAGCTTAGTTAGTTAGTAAGTAAAGTCCCGGGGTAATAATACCTGGCACCTATGATCAAATCCCGTCTACATCATTACTGAAAATTTGAACAAAACCCCATTTATTCAACAAAGCAGCAATAACAAAATAGATAAAATACCAACAAATTTGCAGAAAATGGAGAGGAGAGAGAAACCTGAAGAGTACGGGGCTCCTGAGCTTCACGAATAGCTTGAACAAGACAAGCAGTAGCAAGAGCTTCAACACTACGATTCCTCAAACAAGTAGCAGAAGAACAATCCCTAAACAACTGAAAAGCATGATCAGAAATATCATGGTCCAACCCCAGAATCGAAGCAACATCAACAATCTGAAGATAAGCCCTCAAATTATCAACAACAACCCCAGAAGAAGACGAATTAGAATTTACAGAAGTACCCTCGAGAGCACGCTCAAGCTCAGCGAGGTGGCCGGAGAAGGAGAGAGAAGAAGCGGCGAAAAGCGGGGAGTGGCGGAGAGACCAAGTGGAGAAGGCGGTGAGAAACCCGGTTGGGTCAAACGGGTCATCCGGGTCGGGTTGAGGAGGAGAGAGAGGGAGGTCGGAGGTGGAGAGGAAAAGAGGGGAGTCTTGAGCTTGAAGATGGAAGATGTGGTGGGTTTGAGTCTGGCGTTCTTCGATAACACGGCCGCAAGATGTGCACTCTGTTATGTAGCGGCCTGTTGGGGTGGTTGTGCACCGCCCGTGCGACGGTGGTGCTGAGCAATATGGACACTTCATTTGGGTTTCTCCTTTTTTTTTTCCTCTCTATCTCACTGATTTTTAGCTCTTTCTGGGTATGTTCCACTTTTTTGTAGTTTGATTTGGATGATTCAGGAGTTCAGGACAATGTGTGTTAGTCTGTTAGACGCAGAGTTGTCAAAACTTCACCCGATCTGACTTGAACTGATCACTATTCAAGTTCAAAAATAGACCCGATTTAAATTTGTCGAATCCGATCCGAATATTTGAAATGACACATAATTTGGCCATTTAAATTTTTTACGGTGTAAATTGTGTTTATCTACAAGACTATGGCATTTAAAATTATTATTCCCCATCATAGGATTTTTTTTTAACCGTTTCAAATAACAAACCCAATTTTAGCTAAACACCCTTCAACCTATGTTCCTTCTGTTTCGGATTAACAAGCACAATTTCCTTTTTTGGGCCATCAAAGATAATTGTACACTACCATAAATAACAAAGGTCCTTTAATTATCAGGATTTGGAGTAATTTGTTTAGTTGTTATTTCTAGATATTTTGAATCCTTCAATTGGTAAGGGTTATACAAGATTTAAGTGTTCGAATCAATTGGTAAGGGTTGTTCCACCTTAATCAAAAAGTCAGTATAACACCTGGTAAAGAATTTATAGCCAATTTATCCATGCCATAGGTACTAGTGGTACTACTCTCACCAATCACCATGTTGTACGGAGCCAAAATATGCATCTAATAATTTTCTTATCTTTGATATAGAATTCACTATCTTTAGTTTACAAAGTTTTTATATTCTTACAGTAATGAAGAATCAATATAGTGGGAGAAAAGTTTCCTTTCAATAAATTTTATATAGCGACATTTGTAATAATGAAATTCCAGCTTCAGTACATATTCTGCATGTAAACGAGATCAGCTGACTACAAGTGAGTTGTATGCCCTGGCAGAAGTTTGCATCTTATAAGCAAAACTCTCTGAACGGCAATAATGTGTGATGAATTGTAGCTTCATAGGCCGCATAAGTATCCATTTATCAACTATTCCCAGATGCAGTTGCTGTCTTTCTAATTTCTGCATGCTTAAGACTCAATACTCGAGCACCCTGTTAACATAGCAGCAAAAACAGAAATGAGTTTGACTCCACAAGCATTTTATTATCAATGAAAAATTGCTTTCCCACCAATTATTGAGGTGGGAAGGGATGTGGAGGTGAGGGTCAAGTTCCAATATCCCTATATAGTGAATGATTAAATGCGGCTCTCCACAAACACTGCTACTTTTAGAAATACCAGCCTACCAGGCCACTTTGTCTCACAACTTGCAAAAGATGCCAACCAAACCCCCCCCCCCCCCCCAACACACAAAAAAAATTAAAAAGAAAAAAGAAAAAAACTTAGCTGGGCAGCAAGAGCATCAGGCAAGTGCTTGGTAGGCTAACAGCCCGATTCTTAGTTTAGGAGGGGGGAAGACTATCAAACTTATTAACCATGCTAAAACTTTTCCAGTCTCATAAGTTAGATACTGCCATGTTTCACCATGCATCATAAGTCTTTCACAATAATTCTCACAATCCACATTTGGAATGAGGAAAATGAAATAAGGAGTAAAGCAAATTAATTTGAGGCTAAAATTGGGGATAAGTGAATGGGTGGGTATCTTGGTGGTGGTTGGCTACTTGGCTGGTTAAGGTAAGCGGTTATTGGCCAAGGGTATTGTCCTCTACCAATTCCAAGTAAAAATCATCTACCACAGATAATCCTTGGAACCAAAATAGTATAGTTTTTTTTCCTCTCATGAAAATTCAACTTATTAGCTAATCAGTTCACTCACTCTCGGGCCAAGTATCATTACTGTCATTCTGCTATAGTTACCAGAGAATACTAAAATTATGATACAGAATAAGAAAAGTTCAGCAACAAAATGGTAAACCCTGCTATATAAGCCTCTTTTACAACATTGATATGGGCTTTAATGATTACAAATCCATACTATTTATCTGATCAGTAAATTGTGAGGTATAATCCAACTAGGCACACACAAGAAAAATTCAGGAATGGGTTAGCAAAACTGAAATTGTAAGGCAAATTTCTGTAATTCCCTATCTCATGGAATCACATACATAGAAGGAACAATCCATCACGGCCACAATACCCTCAATACCGCACATTGAGGATGCCCTTTCCTGACAGCCCACTATTTCCTATGAAGACTAATGTATAAAAAACTTAAGAGCATTGATGTGATAGGTACGCTATTTAATACACTGATAGGGATCGGATGAGGTACTAAGGCAGAAGAGAAGGGGAATGAATCAAAGGGGAAGGGAATTTAATATCCAAAGAGCCAAATACTCGTTTTTAATTTCATGCATGGGTTCCCACAAATCATCCATTTTGGACATATTACCATTCACAAGTCACAATAATTTAATAGAGGTGGAGATTTTAATAAACATCCCACAAGTCACATAATTTTCATGAAGAATTTTCCATCCAGACTCCAATTGGCATACTATTCTTCATGCTGCAAGTACTTATAATACCCTGAGCTCATACCCATAAGCCTAATACAATGGCAGATTCTCAAAGAACCTATGGTTAGGGAATAATACACAACTGAGACTTTAGCAAGTTCTGCCATTTGCTATTCAAAATTTCCTCTCTGTTCTAACTTCTAAGTAAACCATTTCCAGCTTGAAGCAAAGGAAGAAAACAACAAGAAACATGAACATAGTACAGTTAAAAATTCTATTCTTTTATTTTGCAACATTGTCAAACTAACCCAGTAGAGGAAACGACTTAAGAACAAGAAGGTCAATGGTCGAACCAAAAAGTATTTCTGATCATCTGATACACAACTTCAAAGATTTGCTGTTCGCTTTTCAGAATTTCTTGGAACAATAATACTGTAATCTGCTTATAGACTGCAATAAGCTAATACCTAATACACTCGCCACCCACACACCAATCTCACTAAGAAGTCACCTAATTAGGAGGTCTGCTGAAGCAATATATGTAATGGCCACTGACAGTCACATTAAAGACTTAGGAACGAGGTCAAAGGGCAAATAAAAAAGTATTTATGAATTCTGATCTGATCCCCAACTTCAAATTTAGTTAGTCACTTTTCAAAATTTCTTGGATCATTATTGTAATCCTTTACCATCAAACTGCAATAAGCTAATACCTTTATGCACTGGCCACCCACACACCAACCTCTTGTAACCAATGCTCTGAATGATATGAAACAGCAGGAAACTCACTAAGAGTTCATACTAATTATGAGGCAAGTAGAAGTATTTTATAGAATGGTCACTGACAGTTGCATTAAATATGAGTCAGCCAATAGGTATGATGCACTTCTTTAGTTATTGCTTTCCATGACTCAACAGCCAGCAGGAATATGGCAAATAATTAAAAAGAAAAAGGAGAAGACTATGTGCTGCCACACTGACGCAGCAGCAGACTTGCATAAACCAAGGATTCTATCTTCTCGTCTTCTATAAACCTCAATCACCCATAATCCAACAAGAATAATCTATGTTAAACTAATGAAGTAATTATCTAATAATTTGACTCAGAAATTGACCCAATTTCATAAGGGGTTCATAATAGCTACTCAATAATCTGATCAAATTTGCCTTATGGAAACATCTTCAAGCAATTTACTTCCACTCCCAGTTCCATGTAAACATCAGAAAAGCAAATATGTACAATCTTAAATCTGAAAGACACAGAAATGTCAATTAATTAACCAAACCGCATTAACACACACACACCCCATCCAAAATTCCAATTCACTCACAGCAACCCAAACATGAGCAAAAGTATACCTCCAATAATTCACAAATTCAGATTCCCATTAAAGGTTTCTCAGTATACCTTTGGAAAACACCCTCACTCCAATTTCAGTAAAAAAAAAAAAAAAAGTCATCCGTCCTTTAAAAAAAACTCTTCTGCAAAAAACTTATATCCATCAACCTCTATTCCTAATATCTTAATCACCCAAATCATATCTGTCACTAAAGATGCATAAGCAACATCAGCTATAAGACCAACAAGCATATGAACAACAGGGATGTAAGCGTACACACTAATGTAGCTTAGTTGGTTTAAGTTCTAGGGGATTGTGCTCAAGGTATTATATCAATCTCATCTAAATCACTCCAAAAATGTACAATATAACAGCTAAAACAATACTGACAGTGAATTGGATAGAAGACAGATCAAGATCACCCCTCATTCTAAATTCAGCTTTACAAATATATTAAAAAAAAAAATATCACCCCTCACTCTATCTTCAGTAAAAAAAATCACCCTTCTCCTATTGTACACCCATCCTACAGTAAACAACTGATATTTATCAACTTACATTCCCATCACCAAAATTATATCCAACGGCAAAAGGCAACATCAATTCAATCAAACCATATACCAGTAAGCATAATAACACAATGGAGTCATGAAATCACACACATTAAAGTTTCTTTGTCGGTTAAAAGTCTTGGGATCATTTACAAGACCACGAGGCCTAAGACCTGAGATCAAATCCCGTCTACAATACTAACTTTTACGACTTCATACACACAAAATGCACACAATTCAGGAGCGAGAAACAACACTGACCGTCATCTGAATTGGAGGTGGATCAAGATCAATAGAACGAATAGACATCTTAGCAATCTCAGTAATTGCAGCTTCACGAACACCAGGCACATCACTAGTCATATCCTCATACGCCGCTTCAAACGCCTGTTGCCAAAACCTCGGCAATCTCATCCGCCGACTATTCGTATACACATCCCACATATACTTCACCACTTTTTCTCTCTCCTCCATTTCCTGCAAAACCAATCAAACCCCACAAAAATTAACACCAACCCAGATTCAAAAATCAAAGAAATAGAAATTAAAACTCACCAAAACATCAAGATCGTTTCTCAGAGGAGCGTCGAGGTCGTCGGAGAGACGGTTGAGGTTTCCGGCGGACCACCGTAGAGTGACGGTGCCGGTGAACATGGACCAGAAAGCAAGCAGTAAAATGGCGGCTAATGCCCAGAATTTGTACCGCCCTTTGCCGAAAACACCCACATCGGAGGTTTCTTTCTTGGTTGATGAAGCTGTTGATGAGGTTGAATTTGATGTTGTTAATGGGAGAGAATCATCATCTTTCATCTTTGATTATTGTTTATTTCTGGGGTTGGGATTTCCAGGAATTTTGGTGGGAAATTGAAATGATTTTTCCTAGTTAAGTTAGATTTTGTTGTGGATTTTTGATGATGAATATACTCGTATAAGAAAAAGGTTTTGTTGGACGAATTATTGAGCAAGAAGAAGTGAGCTTCCTTTTCCTTTTGTGGGTCGATCACTCGATCTGAATAGCAGGAGTGTTATGGGGAACTGCCCGGATGGGGAAGGGGGTAGATGAGTGATGTTATTTCATTTGTTTATTGCAACATTAAACTTTTACAAATTTTTGAAAATTACAAGGGAGTTATTTCCCTAAATAGTGCTAAAATACGGAGTACAAATTAATTCTAGTTTATTTAAAAATTATTTTCCACAATATCGTTTACGTAGGATCGGTTCCTAGGCTTGGAACTTAGCAGTAAAAAATCGCTAATATCATTAGAGGTTTTATGCATAAAACCTCTAATTTAGCTTTCACTAGCAGCTCTTTATATAGAACCGTTAATGGTATTAGAGGTTTTAGGTAAAGAACTGCGAATACCAATATAGTTCTATGCATAGAACCTCTAATACCATTAGCGGTTCTATATTAGTTCTTTAAAACTGCCAATAATTTAGTGGTTTTATACTTGTAAATACCAAACCTTGAAACCGAGCCTACGTGGATGGTATTGTGGAAAATAGCTTTTAAACCAATGTAAATAAGGAGTTAGGGTTTTCTCTCATACGTTTATTTTCAGTTCAACTCCTAATTTCATTCTCTTATAAAATATTCATTTCAGTTCAGTTAAGTCCTGTTCAGCTCAGTTCAGTTCAGCTTAGTTTATGAGAACACACCCTTAGTTTATATTATTACATTATTTTGGGAAATCACTCATTATAAGGTGAGGACTATATTTTTTTTTATTCTTTTTTATAATACTTAGAGTATAATATTTATTATACTCCCTTTAATTTATTTATTTTTTTTAAAAAAAATGCAAGGTCTTTTAAAATAGAAATACATCACACTATTTTTGTAAACGATATCTTTCACCTCACATAGGTTCTGTTCTTTATAACTACTCTGTTGTTCTCTACCCAAAAACCCCAAAAGAACAGGGTCATAGTCATTAGTCACCATTAACATGACCTTTGATCAGATTTCAACGATTAACTTTAGTTTCTGGACATTGATCATTACGTGTCCAACATATAATTTTAAACCTCCCCTTTGTTTCAATCTTTTTTCTCCTTTTTACCCTTTCCCCTTCAATTCGACTAACCTTAATTCATTCCCTCTAATTTCTCCTTCCTTCTCTATTTTGCGAATCCTATTTTTCCACGAAGCAGTTTGTTTATAGCAATAATGTTCGAATCTAGTTCCTCCCATTCAAATTGAAGGAAGTCAAATCAATTGAGGTCAATTAGAATTGGAGGAAAAAGGCGGAAAAAAGAGAAAAAGATGAAAAAGGATTTTTAGTTTGGTAAAGTCACATGATGATAGTCGGAAAATAAAGTCACTTGCTGAAATTCGGTCAAAAGTATATCCTTATTACCTTAATGGGATATACTTTGTAATAACTTTTTACTACATCTGTTTCGTATTATATGCAACTTTGGTGTATTGTTTGTGAAATACGGAGTATAAAAAATTCCAAACTTATATATAATACGAACCGGAGGTAGTATTTAATAAAGTGACTTATTTTACAAATTCGATCAATTAAAAGCACCTTTCTAACAAATTTTAAAAATAAAAGAGCAAAGACTAATTGGAGGATGGAAAACGGATTTTCCTCCGTCAAACAAAGGTCATAGCGACTATAGCTTCCAGTCAAAATCCCTAACTTCTTTCAGAAATTAGGACACAATTTTTGGTCACTCTTAATCAGGTAACTCTTCCTTCCTCTTTAATCCCGATTCTTCTTCTTTCTTTATAGTATTTCTCTTCATGCTTTAATCTGCATTTTCATTTAAATTCAATTTTGTTTTACTTGTTGATCAGTAAATCATATAAACCCCCATTTTGCTATTTTCTAGAAATCTATATATGGTTTGTGTATAATCATTAATCCTCATTTTTTTAAAAAAAATTTATGATTTCTTGTTGTTTTGTTGATTGTTTCTTGGGGAGAGAGAAACAATTTTTGGTTAATTTTTGTTTTTATTTTCTTCTGTTTTTTAGCTAGAGCTGATTTTAATGTAGGGAATAGATTATGATTTTGTAAATTCTATATGAAGTACAATTTTTTTTTTTCCTGTGAAAATTATCAAGATTTGTATGATTTATGCTGTTATATGCTAATGTAATGTTACCACCAGACTGAAGATGAACAAAATGTTTATGGGTTCTAGTGTTGCTATAATGTCCTGTAATTTGTGCAGTTGTTATGGGTAAATATTGAGTTTACATAATTCATGCTACTGTATTTATTTTATTCATGATCCCATGAGAGTGAATTTGCATAAAGCGTTTGGGTTTGTTTTCGAGCATTGTGGGTGTGAATGTGTGATAACATACGAGTATGTACTTGTTTTAATAAGGTTGTTTCTTAGATTTTAATATATGGGTATGAGTGGGTATGACTTATGATGTTGAGACGAGTTTATGTATCGTTGTATGGTTGCAATGATATGCAGAATAATTAGTTAATTACGGATTGTGTTGGTTTAAATTCTGCTTCTTTCCCAATTGTTTGTAGATCTTATTAAGATTTGGGGTTGTTTTATGATTAGGATGGACAAAGGAAAGAAGCTGGGTAATTCTAATGTGGTGGGCAAGCCGGACAAGATCTATATGGATCTCAGAGAAATAATCCAGGAGCATGCTATCCGTTACCTTCCTGCTAAATCTCTTTGCAGGTTCAAAGCCGTGTGCAGAGGCTGGAAACTACAGATATCAAGTCCATTCTTTGAACACAGCCAATCCTTTGCTTTTCGTTCTTTGTCGGGCTTCTTTTGTCAGTCTTCTGATGGCTCCATCTCCTTTATACCCCTTGATCCAATGGCGTATGGAATCCCAGACCCAAATTTGAAGTTCTTGCCTGAGCCTGTTGATTTACTTGCATCATCTCATGGTTTGCTCTGCTGTCGAGGTCGCACTAATGAAAAGGCATATTATATTTGCAATCCTGTCAACCAGCGCTGGAAGAAACTTCCTAACCCTGAAGCTAACCATGGACAGAACACATCTGTGGTACTTGTATTTGAGCCATCACTGCTAGACTTTTTGGCTGATTATAAGCTAATTTGTGCTTTTCCCTCTACTGATTTTGATTGTGCTTATGAGTTTGAAATCTATTCATCACTTGAGAACTCGTGGAAGATTTCCTCTGAGATTTACTTTGGTGAAAAGGGAAGGATATTGAAGGGAGGTGGCTTTCATCTGAACGGGTTTGTGTACTGGTTGGTAAACAATCATGTGATTGGTTTTGATCTAAAGAAAAATCGTGTGAAAGTAATCCCATGCTATGGAATGTATGGAACGCGTACCTTGGGCAGTGTGGACAGAAAACTTTGTGTATCACACAGGAAAGGTTGTGAACTAAGCATATATGTGTTGTCCAATGAGTATGCAAATACTATGCATATGGGATCTGAAAGCAAGACATGGGAACTGAAAAAATTTATGCTATATAGTAATGCAGATACTGGCAATAATGCAGCGAATGATTGTGAAGTGAATCTTTTGTCTGTGAGAAGCGATGTGATTGTGTATCCAAAAGGCAAAAACTTCTTGTCGTATGATCTAAGAACTAAGGAAACTACAAATGTGAGCACTAAGGAAGAATTTAACAGAAACAGTGTTTATGTTCCTTATGTTAACAGCCTAGTGTGGCTTTAGTGACTAATGCATCAGATGGACCAGGGATCAACTTTGAGTTTTATACCGGTGTTTGGTGAAGAGGATGGTTCCATATTACAGTATTATCGTCTGTTAAACTATGATTGTTATATATCTTGCCTATATGATCAGTAAAATAGTTGGTTTAAGAGTACTATTCCTATGCATAGTATATGTATTTAAATAGATGTTGAATTTAGTTAAGCTATATGATGTATCTAAATTTTCTCATATAAATGTTCTATCTTCATATTTTACATCTATTGGGTTTAAAAGTTCATATTACTCATTTAGTGATTTAGACAAGGAAAAATTGATGGGAATAATCCCATCTTTTAGTTGTCTTCTCAAATTGGTCTAACTTTTGGGTTTGACTACATATAATCCAATTTTTTACATCTACTTGTATCTTCTACCTAAAGCTAACCTATTCAATAAGTTAATTGTACAAGTGTCCTATCTTGATTGGTTCCAACTTAATTAAATAAAATTTTAAGTTAAAATTATCAATTTAGATTTATTAGTTTCATCAATAAAAAATTCCACCCGACGGGCCAACGGACCACCCCAAACAACTGACCACAAGTCCTCTACCACCTAAAAATAGACGGCCTTTTTAGTGAGCATTATTAAACAAGTAGTTAATTAACAAGGGTTGCAATTTTTAGTCGTGTTAAGTTAATAAAGGGGAAGACGGTTGGTTAAATGCACACTTACAACAAAGAATATCATTTGTCAAACATAAAAAAAATCCTTTTAAATACAAATAATAAGAAACGTAAGTAGTAATTCCAAAATCCAAATCAATATTAGTGAGATAATCTGAATCATAGGCGCAGATCCAAGGGGGGCCTAACCGGGCCTTGCCCCCCCAATGCCCAAATTTTGATATTATATAAATAAAGCTTGTACAAATATTCAAGTTTTATAATAGGCTTAGTTGGTTAGTTACTAGTTAGATAGCTTTGGAGGTAAGACATTATTATTTGAAATTCTTTATAATTTCCGCCCGGTTTATAAAAAATTTCTAGATCTGCCCTTGATTATAGTGATTTACTTTTACATGTGTTTTGTTATAAATTCCAAATTTTATACAATTTTCATATTTATATTTAATGCTTATATATAGCCGGCTACATATACCATAACCCTTATTAGTACTATCCTCATTTAACTTCTTATACTACGTATATTACCATTAAAGCTACATACTTCGTTTAACATTTTCCCTAAATAAAACCACCCATTAAACACAAACCAATAAGTTTCACCAAATCTGCTAAGAGCATGTTGGATGTGATGTCATCAAATTCTTGTTAAGACTCACTAAGACTTACACAAATTTATCACTTTAGCCCTAAGACTTAAATATTTGACATATTATAGGTAGAAAAGTGTAAAAAAAAAAAAAAAGCTTTAATAAAAATTAAAGTGAAGTAGGTGAAGTGAGTCCTAATCTCAAATTTTAAGACTTGGGCCTAAACTTGCTCTAATTACCACTCTTCTCCTCACCAGTTTTTCGACTTAGGTTTGTACTCCGTTATATTTTTTTTTGTTTATTCATCAAACACTCTCTTTTATCGAATGAGACTCGAGACTCTTGGGAAAAGACTTCAATTTGAAGGCAAAATTCTAGGCAGGAAGATAAATTCGGCAAAGGTATAAGAATGTCTTAGTTCTGTTATTCTGTATACTTTTGCTTCATTGAAATTGCTGAAACTTTCCGACAGATTTTTTTCCCCTGCAATTCCTTTCGAATATGATTAAATTGGGTATTAATTTTTAGTGTATGATCTCGAAAGATCAATTTTTTTATACATTTTGGTTGGTAAAATTCAGGCAAAATAAATGAAAGTTGTTTAAATTACGGAATTATACTTTGAATTTTGTTGTAGATTTGTCGAATTATTCTGTAACATTAAAGGGTTTTACTAATACAGTATACGGTGCTCTGTATGTTATTTATTTTTTGTAATCATATGATTTTATTTATAAACCCTAATTGATTTGATTGCAAACAATTGTTGTTAGATGAGAAAAATGGTTTTTGAGATGCCAAGAATTGATTTTGGTGCACCCTTTATTGAAAATACAGTTTTCTGTGCTTTCTTGTAAAGAGGTGTGCCAAAATCAGTTAGAGGTTGAGGTTTGCCAAAATCGATTTCGTTGTTCTACTTTATGTACCGTACATTGTGAATTGCGTCTCTCATTGATGATTTGGGGATTTTAATTGTATGATTGCTTGATTAGAATTAGATTATCAATTGTAGAGTATATTTTGAAGGCAATGGTTAGTTGATGAATTTAAAAAATTGGGAAATAATCTTAGAAATAATGAAGGGTAATGTGATGATCAATCAATGTCACTTATTTAGGTAAAATATCATTATGCTGATGGCAAATATGGTAGGATCGCGAAAGAAAGAAATTTTGTTGAAATTAGAATTGAAGGTGTGGTTTTTGTCCGACTTTTTGTTGTTGCTGTTTGTTGATGATGTTGTTATTGTTGAAATTGCATATTAAACTTCAATTCTGTGTTGTAGAGTAAATGAAAAGTAGATGTGTTGATTAGGAATGCAAGTACACTTGTACTAGGCAATAATTGGGATAAAGGGAAAATGTGTAAATCTTGTTATATGAGCATCGACTCTCAAGGAAGTTGACATACTTTGGATGTGGGATTGAGCCTGTAGCGTATAAAATGTATGAAGAGTGAGATGATAACTATTGCAGCTTCCTCGAGAGATCTATGAGGGCTTTGATTGACCTGTATTTTCTTTGACATTGATCAGGATGAATAGAGTAATGAAGAAACCTTGTGGGGACGTGAGTAAGTTTCAAAGAATTTACATGGACCTCGGAGAGATTCTCAGAGAGCATGCCCTTCGTTATCTCCCAGCAAAATCCCTTCAAAGGTTTCGTGCAGTGTGTAGGGATTGGAATCTTCTGATCTCGTCTCCCTTCTTCATCCATAATCAGTCGATTGCATTGTCCTCAATGTCGGGTTTCTTTTTACAGTCACCAGGAAAACCTCCCTTCTTCATTTCCCCGGACCGAATGGCTCATGGTGTGCCTGATCAAGAACTGAAGTTTTTGCCCGAGGCAGTTGATGTGAAGGCCTCCTCTAATGGCCTGCTTTGCTGCCAAGGCCGCTCTGGGGATAAGCCATACTATGTCTGCAATCCTGTTAATAAGCAGTGGAAGAAACTTCCTAAGCCTACTGCCAATCATGGATCTGATCCTACAATTGCTTTTGAGTTTGAACCATCACTGCTGAATTTCTTGCCTGATTATAAGGTGGTATGCATCTTTGCTTCTACTGACATTGAGGAAGCTTATGAATTTGAGATCTACTCATCGCTGCAAGATTCTTGGAAAGTTGCATCAGAGATGTTCTTCAGCAGTAGAAAACTTACGTTTTTAAAAGGGATTACTGTGAATGGAGTTGCCTATTGGCCAACAACTTGTGGGAAGCTTTTGATCTTTGATTTGAAAAAAGAAAAGGCAACGGAAACTTCTGCTTATGGGGCATTTGTCAACAGACCGCCATATGGCAATACATCCCTGGGGATGATGGATGGGAAGCTCTGCAGGGCGTCTTCAACTGGTTTTTCCATTAAGGTGAATGTGTTGAGAAATATACATAGCAATACAATGCCAATGAAATTTAAGGCGGGTGGCCCTTGGATGATGAAGCATGAAGTTCAGTTGAAATCTTCAGACATGGGACTTGGGAAAAATAATCAGCTACGAGTTTTGTTCGTGTGGGATGGTATGCTTGTACTTGAAGCTGATGGCAAGAAGGTCTTTATTCATGATATGAGAACCCTAACTACGACATTGTGCAACGAATCACCTTCTAATTCTCGGTATGAAGTTTTTCCATACATTAACAGCCTTGTCTCCCCTGTATGATCGACTTTGTTCATGTCTTAAAGTTAGGGATTGTCTTTGGTTTAGCTCATTTGATTTGTAGTGCTAATTAGACTGTGTTGCAATTTTTTTTGTTCTACTTTTGTCGTATCACCTCTTTAATGTATTACATTGCTGGCTGAAGCACTGTTTTTAGATTCTTAGAACTATTTTAGTTTATTTTATGAGCATCGATGTAACTTGCACAATTACTATGAATGCTATACTCCTAATAGATTAATGCATCGCCATTAAAATACAAGTTCCTGAATCCTTACTAGGCATTGATTAACACAACAACAATGGTAAATTTGGGTAGGGGAAAAGAGAAAGGGTGCCTCGTCAGCATTCCCTACCCCCTCTTGGTTGCATTTTGGGAACATGCCGAGATGGGATACAATTATTATACTTCGTTCAAGTTTTAAATTTTGACTTAGGGTCTGTTCTCTTCAGCTTATTTTCAGTTCAGTTTAGCTCCATTAAGTTTAGTTCAGTTCAGTTCTTATCTTAATTTCCTTCTCTCATAAAATATTCAGTTCAATTCAGCTCCAATAAGTTAAGTTCAGTTCAGCCCAGTTCAGTCAATCAGAACAGACCCTTGGTGCATTTAAAAAAAATTAAAACTCTTATGATCATATTGAGTATTGACCTTTATTATTATTGAAAGTGATCAGTATATTAAAACTCTCATTAAAAAAAATTAATCTCTTATGGTCTTTATAAATAGAATAATGAGTTATTTTAACATAATAACCATTGTTTCATAGGCCTAGCTATTTCTGATCGGGAAAATTATGATTCGAATCCAATCCGAAAAAAAAACCGAATATTCGAAATTTCGGATCGGCCTTCGGATGTCCGACCCGCATACTAATATTGAAAATTTGGTACTGTATTTCTTTTGGTAGCCCCTTATTTGAGTTGTGTAAAATCCTACATTTTATGAACTTTCATAATAATTGTAAAAAATTAAATAAACGCAACAAATTCAAGCATAATAATACAATAAGGTTCACTTAGGTCTTGTTCTCATACGATGAAATTCAGTTTAGTTCACTTTAGCTCAATTCACTTCAGTTCAGTTCCTAATTTTCTTCTCTTATAAAATATTCAATTTAGCTCAGTTTAGTTCAGTTCAGCTGAGTTCAATCAATGAGAACAGACCCTTAAGTATTAAGGTAAGGGAAAAATACTTGTAAAAAAAACACTTGACTAAAATCCAAGATTACAAATACAATATTACATTTTAATTGGAGCTAACATTATAAATCGGAGTTTGTTGCAAAGTTAGTTAATTTTTTTTATATTAAAAAATCGTATCGGATCAAATATGGATTTTTCTAGATTCGTGATCAGAATTCGATCCGAAAATTTTCAGATATCCAAAATTGAAAAAAACAGATCAAATTTCCATTTTTTTCGAATATGATCAACTGGATCACGGATTGGATCGAATCGTTCGGATTGGATTTTTGCCACCCATATTGTTTCATCATACTGTCATAGTGGCCTTTTTTTTTTAAAAAAAAATTAAAGGTCCATATTCTATCTAAAGTTAATGTGGTGCATAATAAATTAATGTGAATCAGGTTAGGTTTACTTAATTATAGCCTGAGTAAAGTATAGGTTCTAAATGATTCGATAAAATCACACCCATTTTTTCTCTCATCGGTAGATAAACCGGTGTGTGACTCTTTGAGTTTTTATATTTGTCATAGCTAATCATGGAGAGAAATAAAGAATTTTGAGAAGAATAATATAATATGATGCAAAACCGTTAAGTCAACGATTGTCGATTTGCATACTTAATTACTCAAAAAAAAACTTTGATTTTGAAATCACCCAATGTAATAGATCAAAAATAACACATGAGTCATGAGTCCAATTTAATTTTGACTAAATGATGCAATGAAGTTGTTTAACACTTAATATTATCCCTTTTTTTAAGGAATTTCTAATGGATGCACTCCATTACTATTAGTCAAGTCATGTTAAGTCAAAATTGTTGTTATTAACCTATTATCAACATTTACTTAACGTTTTGATTACTGTAATTAATTAGGATTAAGTTTGGATGTAATTTTGATAAATCAGATTTAATGAAGTGTGTCAAATCAAAGATAAAAATCAAAACTAGAAGTGTACTACGTATATTTCTAACTCCGTATTGGACTCGTCACATTTATTATTGGACGCTTGACCCATTTATAGCAGTGGCTATACCAAGCAAAGCTTGGTGGAGTTAGTGTAGAACTCAACTTGTAACTTTGAGGTCATAACTTCGAACCCCACTAATTACAAAATGCCTGGAAATAGGGATTCTTTTACCTCTCCCTCCTCAAGCGACTTACGAAGCTGCTAAACTTGTGAGAGATGCCGATTCAATAGGTTATTTCATCTTACCTTTATAAAAAAAAAAAAAAAAAGAAAAGTAGGCGGATTAGGGTTTTTGCTTGTTAACGCGCAATTTCTAAAATACTCCGTACTCCCGATACAGCAACGGGGCTCCACCCATTGAACAACTCTAATTGCGAATACAAGGGGGAAAAAAAAATCCTCATTCTCCATTGAAACGAACCAAGTACTCAGCGTTCTCCATTGAAGCGTCTTCTGATACTTGTATCCTCCATTGAATCGCCTTCTGAGGTAATTTGTTGTTTCTATTTGTAATCATCATGTCAATTTTACAATCTAAGGTTTAATTTCATTCAATTTGATTGTCATAGTAGTTAATTTAGGGTTCGAAAATTTGAACTATTGGTTCTAATTACTAAGATTGTAACCAACGATTATGTTGCTAGAAATTTGATAATTGAATCAAATATGCCTTTGCTTACTAAAATTATTTATGTGATACTTAAATCAAATTTGGTTGATAATGTGTTGCATAATTCAAGCCTAATTAAGTCCACGAGTTGAGTTTTTTTGTGGCTATTGGAGCATTAGGCTGAGCTTGGGTTACGAGGCTAATTGAGCTTCGCCATCGAGCCAAGCTTGCCTAAATCCTATTGAGCTTGAGCTCAAGCCGAGCACCCTTGAACTCTACAAAAGCTTGAGCCGAGCACCTCTTAATGATTAGCAATGCCAATTTTGTGACACATTGGTATAAAAGTTAGCACCAATGACAAATTGGTATAAAGTGACAAATTAGTATAAAAGTTAGCAAGTGGTGATATGTGACCCTTTTATTTTGTTGTTGTTGTTGGAGAAGTGTGTATATATAAGTGCTTAATTGTTTTCACTCTTTTTGTTGTTGTTGGTGATACTCATTTAATGTCAAATAGTTCTCCCCTCCAACCCACCTATGATTATTGACAAATAATAACAATCAACTATTGTAGGATTATTAGCAAAAGATGGCGGAAGACGCTATTTTGCTCTATTTGGAAAAGAGCGAAGAAATTCCAGATTCTGGAATATTTGCCAGTGAATTTGGGATTGATCATGAAGAGGTGATCAATGTCACCAAGAGCCTTAATGGCTATGGGCTTGTTCTTGCTCAGGTTATCCTTCTCTTTCATGCTTTATTGCTTTCATTGAACTCTGGAATTGAATGATTGCTTAATGAATTACATATTGGGAATTTGTCTATTTTCTTGAAGCTGAATTATGCAGTTTATTTTGATTTGGATGTATTTACTTGATTTTTTTTTTTATGAATCCTCTTTTTTCTTGGAGGTTTAGAACATTATAAGTGAATCCTATGTTAGGAAGATGTAAATCAGCTTAGTATGCACTGATCTTTTTGCTTAATTAGATTAGAGGAAGGAAGAAGAAGAAGAAGTTGTTTTGTGTATTTTGGTTGGATAGGAAATTATTGGCCGTGAGGTTTAGCAACTCTTTCTGGTAGCCATTTTATTTATTAATTATGCAAATGGAGGGTGGGACTTGGGTGCTTATTTGCGAATTTAGTTCAGTTTGTTTAACTTGATGAAAATGTAAAAGTTAAAATTGTTTGCGCCGTTGCCTATGGATTTAGGCTTTTGGGGAGGTATTTTCTTGAATTAAAAATTGGATTATTTATCGCTAATATGTGTTTTTGAAATTACAGTATATAGGGCAATTTTTTTTCTAGGATTTATGCATTTATCACATTTATTATAGTGAATATGTGTGTTTGCCATCGTAGGATATTAAGAAGGAAAACTGGGTTCTCACTGAAGAAGGAAAACTTTATGCTGCTGCAGGCTCTCCTGAAATGCAAGTATTCTCAGCTATACCACCCGAAGGTATTTCACCTGATGAACTTCAGGTTGGCAGTTTTTTTGCTTGCTGTATATCAGTATATTTGATTTGTTCTGTTTGATAAAGTGAAGGATCTTAATGTGATTTTTCATGTTGGATGCAGAAAAAGGTGGATCCTTCTGTTTTTAAGATAGGATTTTCCCAGGCTATGAAGAATAAGTGGGTGGAGAGAGGAAAGCAATCAGTATCCCGAAAGGTAAATTTTCTTGAAGTTCCATTATTGGAAAGGTTATTATTTATTACTTTCTAAACTATGCTACATTGCTACTCCTGAAAGTTCGAACTTTATTGTTTTTCTTGTTTGTTCCTTATTATCAACATCTCTGTTTTTTTTTTTTTTTTTTATTTATTATTTTTATAATTGCAATAATATCTAAGTTTTGATAAACTAGCATTGCAAAACATGAACGTCCATATGACTCTGTTAAAATACATTGTCCGGTCCCCACCCTTTACTATCATCTGTTACAATTATTGAGAAGTCTCGAGTAAATTATTTAAATGGGCAAGATTGAATTGAATTATCAGGCTCTTGAAACATACTGAAGGTGTGTTTGGTTCACAAGTTGGTATGAATTTGGAATCATGGATTTTGAACTTGATTCTCTATTCCAACTGTTAGGTTTTGTTCAGGAATATGGGTTTGGTATGATATATTCCTGTCTCCTTCCTTGGGGTTTTAAACCCATTACCTTGTGAGCTTGAGGTTTAGGTTTAGAAAATGAAATCTTCCTAAACAAACACTATGTATAGCAGTATAGGTTTTAGGCTTTTAGCAACTTCATATCCATACCTTAGACCTTAGCTGAGTGTACCAAACACCTCGTTAGTGTTGTAAGAAAGCCAAAAAAATTACATTTGGGTGTTTCAGGCTTGTATTTGCATACATTATGACTATCAATTCCTTCATACTTTGAAATCTGATTTGCAATCTGCTATGAAGTGAATTGAAATGGATTAAGAATGACCACACAAGGTGTACTAAGGGCATGGGAACTGTATATCAGTTGTAGCTAAATGTTGGTCTCTATTTTTGGAAGACATAACTCAGCACAGTGACTTAGTATACACTTTTTTTCAATTTTATGTATTTATTTATTTTTAAATTTAATTTTAAACTGGTAAGGAGATGAACCCTGCCCATACCTCAATCTTCATAGTTTCTTGGGCTAGCAGTTGTGAGTAGGGGGAAAGGTAACGGGATCCATACCCCCTCACTTGCAAAATTTGAACCCCTAACCTTATCAAGTGAGTCAAGCCTTGTTTAGTGCATTGATGCTCTATAATCGGGGTAAAATTGTATAAGAAGAAAAGGGTTTTAGGGTTATAATATTCGATCTTTCTATCAAATACGTGTACATAGACAGCGGTGGTGGTTGTTTTGGTGTAGTGAAGTACAAATGTAAGCTTATCTGTAAATGTATATATTTGTGTTTATGCAGCTTGATTTTGTAAATATTAATTTAGTTTTCTGTTGCAGGTTCAACATGTTGACGATAAGGTCAAGGACTTGCTTACACAGATACAAGCTGAGGAGGTGAGACGTTGTCCTTTCTTGTTTGGTATTTTAATTGCTGACATTGTTCATGTGATGAGGTCTCGCTTCTCATGCTTAGGAACTAGTAACATCTTCCAATGTTGTTATTTGAACAGTAAACGATGTTCTCTGATCAATTTGTTGTTAGAGTATGTGAGTATTGTAATTTTGCTGTAGTGGGTTGCTTCCATGAATTTAAACTTAATTAAATCACATGGAATCTGGACAAATGCCCTATGATTCTATGAATAAGAGTGGATCCTTTGGTTCCGTCTTTCGATATTGTTTGGCCGGGGCAGTAAGTTCTCTACTAGTTATGCTGTTCTTTCTTTGATAAATATTTTCTTTTCGGGACTTTTGGTAGTAACCTCTTGACAAGGCTTGTCGAGTTGGGGGTTAAAATTCATATTATTGATCCATCTAGAGTTCCAGACTTTTTGGTGCTTTCATAATAGGTTATTACGATGAAAACTGTAGTTATTTAAAACTAAGCTATTTTAAATTTGTAGGTATGCTTCTTAATTTGCTACTTTGTTTGTGTTTGCCTTTAGTAATTTGTCTGCCTTGCCCATGTATAAAGGAATTTTTTTCTATAGTCTCTTTGTTTAGCTTTAATTGGCGAATTTCTTGTCTACAGGTGGTTAAGCAAGAGGATATTGATGCTCTCAAACGGAGAAAACTGATTACCTTGCAGTAGGGATTTCTTGTGCTCTCTTATTATACTTTATCTGTTTTTAGCTGACATATTGGATAATGACTCTATGCTAGTTTCTTATCATGTGCTGTTCCTATGCTTATGTCTCCTGGATGCACAATGCGAGCTGTTAGACTGCTAACTCATCATTTGTATTTGCTAGGACATGGAAGGGATACTCAATTTGCAAGGGTCCAAATTATGCCCCAAAAAGGAAAAAAGCAGCAACTGATCTGACTCGAGAGCATTTGCAAAGGTATTTCACTCATGCATCTGATTAGAAAAGGGTGTTTTTTTGCACCAGTGCAATATTCAGTCTGCTGCTGCGGATGTTCTCTATTCATGGTGCATTACTCCCATTTTATTACGTGAATTGCAATTTCAATGCTGCTGTGCTTTTCCTGGTCTAAAATTTGTCAACTTAGGAAGAAGGGGAACGTTAATTATTTTGTGAAATTATATTATAAGCACAAAACCTAGTTTCTTCCTCTTGTACTAATTAAGTGAGTAGGCCCAATATAAGAGAGTGATAAGTGGACATATTCTGAAGCCATTTAACTATTCAAGGACAGCAATAGCTTGCAATTTTTTTTTTTTTTTTTTTTTTTGGAGACCATGTAATGGGGAAATAAGTTTCTATGGGTTGCTGGTAAGGTTAAATACTTAGGTAGAAATTGTTTGAAAACACAGTGGTGATCTTTAACCTTACTAAGGTTAAATACTTAGGTAGAAATTGTTTGAAAACACAGTGGTGATCTTTAACCTTACTAAGGTTAAATACTTAAGGTTAAACACAGTGGTGATCTTTAACGTTCAGTGATGAATTGGTTTGGAAATCTGTTGGGCCTTCAGGTCTTGTTCCTTTGTGAAGGTGTTGTGTCATGTGATCCCTTTCCTCAGTTTACATTGTGGCATACCCTCTAGTCAATTTTTGCATACTTATCAATTAGCCTTTTTAGCCTTGGTGCTCTGTAATGAGTGTAATCTGTACTTGTGTTGCTATGAGCAAACTTTGTATGGCTTGTTGACATTGTGGCAGGAATTTTGTTTCAGAAGTGTGTTTTTTTTTTTTTTTTTTGGTTTGGTTTTCCTGTTGTTTGACTTTCTAATGCTGTCATGTCATCTCAAGTGGTGGCTGGAAGGATTTGGAACTCAAAGAATACAACTTTAATGCTAAAGGTCTTCCACCTGAAGGTGGTCATTTGCACCCCTTACTCAAGGTTAGGCTGCTGGTTCTATTTGCTTAAATTCTCTTTTGCAGGGGTAGTTTTTTAAGCATTTCCATTATGTTGCAGCAATTTGTTATTTAGTTTGAATGCGACTTGTTGACTAATTTGAAATTTTGAATTGCATATCTGCATGTTATCGATGTTTGTACTATTGCTATAAATAGTTGCTAATTGTGGTTAGAAGTTTCAGAAGTCAAATTTTGTTTACAAGTTCCAACTGGGCAATGACATATTAGCACATGCTTAACCAGTCTGCTTGAGATTTGATATTTCTGTCATCAATCTGGTTATGCCGATTGCGGTTTGGGGTTGTTTATCAACTTACAATGGGGGATGTTGTGTGAGATCGCTAGATGTCGCAACTATTATAGAATTGGAAAAAAGATCTGCAAGTAATCTCTTCTTATTTATACCCCTGTTTTTGAAAATTTTTGACATTTTATCTTTTGGCACTACTCACAAACTCCACTTTGACCGTCGTTTGTTATGTATACATAATGAAAAACATATTCAAGTGCATCTCATTAGATTTGTCTCAGTTTTCATAATCAAAATATCAATGTTTTATTTATTTATTTATTTATTTATTTTTAAAAAAAACACTTACAAGTATTATGGTCATAGTTTTACATTGGCAAGTGCGAAAGTGTAAAGTGTGGAGATTCTTGAGAACTTTTTAAAAAGGAGGTATATTTTGCAAATTGAACAATCTGATAGTAATTTAGTAAGAGATGTTAGAAGATAGGATTAATGCAGGGCATTCAGTGCAGTAGATGCTCTTTTTTTAGGTGAAGGAGAATGCTAATTTGCTAAGGCCACAAGTTTCTACAAGGAAATTATTTTTTCTTAGTTTTCACTCAGATTTTTCTTAGTTTGCTCAAGTCTAAATTCTTGCCTGTCAGATTTCTTTTCTTAATATCTATTATTGTCCTCATTATCCTGATCTGTCAACTGGTTCTTAAATTTTTTGTATGTCTGATATCGTTCAACGTTTCAGGTTCGGAAGCAATTGAAAGACATTTTTCTTCAGATGGGGTTGGATTCCATTTGTCTCTCTTCTTTTTTGATTGTGTTCTATTTCCTTGTTCATTTATTTATTTTGTTGAGAGAATTTGCTCTGATCTCTACTGATATTTTATTGGCTCCACAAATTTGTCTTGGTCTGGGCGCAGCTTTGAGGAAATGCCTACAAACAATTATGTCGAAAGCAGGTATGCTTGTTCTTTCATTTAATACTTGTATGATGTCTTCTATTTTAATACTTTAACTTCCCAATCTATGCTATTTACCTTCTAGAGCTATGTGTAATAAGTAAAAATTATGATCTGCTGAATTCAAAGAAAGCCGTAAATTCTCCCAAATCTGTTGTCATATAGTTAATGAGGAATCCACTGATTCATATTCTGTTCCATTTATTTTAATATCTAATGCAAGCTTTGTGTCATATGACCCTTTTGTGTCCTGTCACTCAGAACGCTACAAGTTAAATAATCTCTTTGCATTTAAGAGGCCTAAGCTAAGAGAGTAGTAGTCTATGCACAGTTTTTATTTCCAATAATCACAAATGGTGACTAGCAGTTAAATAATTGTTTTTGCGGCTTTCTTTGATTCTTTTTCCCCACTACACATGTTAAGTGATGTTTCAATAAGGAGCAGCCTGTTGGATATTCTATCTAGCGGATAAACAATAGCAGTGAACCCATGGTCTGGCAATGAACGTATTTTATTTGATTGGAGACTAATTTATTTGGAAAATGTCCTATTTCATTATTTGTACTTGGTCTTGTTACTAAAAAGACTTTGAGGAGGATAATTATGGGTGGGATTCTTTTTGCTGCAGTTAAAGGAGATTTTTACACTATTAGCTGTATTCTTTTTTCTTGTGGTTGATTGCTGGGAGACTTGGAAATCCATACTAATTAATTTGGTTCTTGAAATAGATATGTTTAAGGCCATGGTTTCTATGGTTAGAAGTCAATTCTCTTTAGAGAGAGAGACAGAGGATATATTTGCACTACTCAATACAGGGATATTTTTAGTTTGGACTTGGAAATTTGCATCTTCATGTTTTGCTTGGATTTATTTATTTATTTTTAATGAAAACAATTTTTTTCTTTTAGCTTTTGGAATTTTGATGCGTTGTTCCAGCCACAACAACACCCAGCTCGTGATTCACATGACACTTTTTTTCTAAAAGGTTTGTTGTAATTCATCATGTTTATAGCATCTTTAAGACATCTATTGTTCCATCTTTTATATCAGTTTCTTTTGAAATTATTCTCCAACCTCAGGTAAACCTTCACTTTTTCTGCAATTTTTCTGTAATACTACCTCTGTTAGATATTATTTGCAACGATTACACATTTTTCCTCTCTACTTTATGTCAAATCGTTGCAAATAATATGTAACGGAGGTAGTATTACGATATAGTTTTTTGTGGGATTTTTAGAAAAGTACCTGGAAGGCTGAGTACATCTTACCTATCCTAGCCCTGATTTGTTGCTTTATTGGGAATGATTGTTATTGTTGCTATTGCTGTATTACCATAAAACCACTTTAATTGTGTTGTCAACTGATATTGATGCTCATTTAAGAGATTGCGGAAGGTTTCTTAATTATACTGATGTCCTAATATATTAATATTATTATACAGCAATTGTTTTTTTGCCTTTTGATAATGGATAATCTGAAGGATCTTCATTTTTTAAAATGTTCTTGCGCAAACCTAGGGTTTATAGTTTTTCTACACTGACCTAGCTATGGTGATTACTTTTACGAGGTTGTGCCAACCTAATTTGCAACTTTGGAACATTGGTTTTTGTGCTTATTGAATATGTAATTTTGCTACTCTGCAGAACCGTCCACTACACAATGGCTGCCTGAAGATTATGTTGAGAGGGTAAAGTGTGTTCACGAATCAGGTGGTTATGGTTCCAGAGGGTATACATTCTTCTTTTTTTATTTTGTTCAATCTCATTCTATTATCTACTAACATTTTATTTCCTCTGTTTCTTATTAGTTGGCATGTTTACAAATATCAAATTTCATAACCTTTGCTCAATGAAGATTATATATATATATACTTCCTCCGTTCTTTTATTATTGCACCACTTGCCTTTTTGGGAAGTTTCACAAATATTGCACCATTTCCTCTTTAGGAAAAAAATTATTTGTGTTCACACTACAAATACCCAACATACCCTTGCTTTTTTACACTTACTTTTTAATTTATCAATATGTCACATGGGCAATTTTGTATTTTTACCTTTCTCTCTCTTACTTTTTTCCACTACCAAAATATTTGCACCCAACCCCTATGGTGCAATAATAAAAAAACGGAGGAAGTATGTATAATCAAGCATGGTCAAACATGCCTAAAAAATGTATGCTTATATGAAACTAAGGTAGTGTCAGTCCTGGGGTGCTGTTTTGTCACTCCTTCTGTTTTTCTATGTATTTGAATCTGGAAACATGGAGTTAGCTACTTCAAATATTTACATGTGACCCCCAAAGTACCTACAAACTGTAAGTACTGTTTAATATATTGTTCTAAAATTGTCTCTTAATTATTCAGAATTATGTTAAATGTAGGTATGGATATGACTGGAAAAGAGAGGAGGCTAACAAAAATCTTTTGCGAACACATACAACTGCTGTTTCTTCAAGAATGCTATATAAACTTGCACAGGTATTTTGGGACAGTAACGATTTAATTGCTGCAAGTTTTTAGTGGTAGTTGAACTTCTCAGGACCCTCTCTGTCTCTTTAGAGTGATCATATTTTGTATAGAATAATTGACATCATTTTGCCATTGCCTTAATTCCATTCCAAATTGAATGTCTTCATATTTGATGGTTGGGGTGCTAATTAGATGTTTTTTACATATGCTCAAAAGAGATCTTTTTATTTTTTTTATTTTTATTTTTATTTTTAATATTGTTATCCCATTTTGTAAAGTATTATTTTTTTATACTGTTATACCATTTTTTTTTTTTTGGATATTGTTATCCCATTTCTTTATACTTCAGAAGAGATGTGAATACCATGGCTTTTTGTTTCTGTTTTGATGTGTGTATTTATGGATGGTTAAATGGTTAGATGTTTACATGTTTGTGTAACATATAAAAATTCAACCCTAGTCCTTGGTAGGCTCTTTTGGTCCTCTATCATTGATATGGATCTGAGTAGACCAAAAAGAAAATCAATGGATGGATAAAAAATGTCTCATTGTGTCGGTTGTGTTTATATACACTACACTGCTACAAACCAACCTAAGAAATCTTAATTCATGTAGAATCCTAAATAAGCATGACAAATTGGCAAGAAAAGCCAAGGAGCCAAAGACACGCCTATAATGCAAATCAGTCTATCAGAAAAATAATTCTAACAATATATAACGCAAGATTCAAGCTAACACCTTGGAAGCCCACAAATAACCCTTTATTAAATGAAAATATAATAAATTAACTATAATTTGCAACAATGATTACAAATGCTTGGCAAAATGTTAAGTGGTGAAGATGTGAAACCATTTTAAGTTCTACATTGGATATGGAGAGGTCTTTTGCTTTAATACTCCTTTATGCTTTTATTTAATCTGTATCTTATGCTTAATGGCTTTGCCAAGTTATAGTGTTCAATTGGATTGATGTATCTTTTTTCTGATCATGTTTTTTCTTATGCTTGTAGAAACCGTTTGCTCCTCAAAAATACTTTTCAATAGATCGTGTGTTCAGAAATGAAGCCGTTGACAGGACACACTTGGCAGAATTCCATCAGATAGAAGGTGAACATTTTGTTTATTTCATAGTTGGGCATTAGTCCTATTTCTAAATATTGGGTATATGTATGGCAAAGGTTGGCTGCAAATTTTGATTCTCATGCCGCCGTACCCTTTAAGGTCAACAGGGCCAATTTCTTATTGCACTGCCAATTGTTTTAAAATAAATAAAATAATTAAACTTGTGTCATGTCTGTTTAACATTTATTGCTCATAAGTCTGTAATTTTGTAAAGTTACCTTTGAATTCGCAGTACATCAAAAGTCCTCTGATAAAGTAATGAGAATTTGTTGTGTGTTACTCACCTAATTATGTATCTTCTCATTTCAGGCCTTATATGTGATCGAGGCCTCACCCTAGGGGATCTTATTGGCGTACTGCATGACTTTTTTTCACGTCTAGGTAAGATTTGCCTCTGTTTATTCAAGTTATTGTCTAGCTTTGGTAAATGTCATGCTACAAATATATTCTATGGTCTGTTTGACAGAGAGAATCTGAATATCTGTTCAAAGTGAGAATAGAAAACCAACATATTTCTTGATGCTACTCAGCATAGTTTTTGAAACTCTTTGGATGGCCAGAACTCCAAATTTAAGCTTTTGCAGGATGCTACTCAGCATATACTTCCTTGAAACTTTTTTCTTATAACTACTGTGTGATTTGTATCTCTGAATCTGGAATATAGCTTTAAGCGACACTTTGTTTTAAACTTGGATGACTTCTGGTGATGTAAAGAAGTGTTTTATGACTTGTGCAGGGATGACGAAACTTCGTTTCAAGCCTGCGTACAACCCTTACACTGAGCCTAGTATGGAGATATTCAGGTAAGGAAGATTTTCAAAGAACAGTAGTGTATAATGTGAATGTACTATACATGTCATTGTGATTTAGAGAAAAATCTATTTTTATATTTCAAAAAATCATGTCATGTTCTTTTGCACAAGTATTTGTATTCGCTGTGTCCATGATCGAATTTGTGGATATGCATAATCTGGTTTGGACTGGAAAATGAACCAAACTCATCCAGTTGGGACCTGTTCATTTTGCTTTGCAAATCTGTCAAATTGTCACTTGCATTGAAACCTCCGATCTTTGATTTGTCAGTTATCATGAAGGCTTCGGAAAGTGGGTGGAGATAGGAAATTCTGGTATGTTCAGACCAGAGATGTTGCTTCCAATGGGGCTTCCAGATGATGTCCGTGTAGTTGCATGGGGGTTATCCCTTGAAAGGTGAGCTTAAATATGGTTTCATTTCTCTAATAATGAACACTGCAGTTAAGATATACCAGTCACAATTTTGTTAGAGCACTTTCAAGCAAACTGAACTATGTTTTCTATTTTAAAAGGATAAATAGTACTGATTTCTTTATTTTGTGGCTACTTTAGCTGATAGAAAAACTATGTTTTCTTATAAGAATATCTAGTATTGATTCCTTATATTGTGGCAAAGAAATGACTAGAACCAACAAAAAAGAAAAGGTGAAGTGGGATTGATATTAGATGACAAACTTATCATGGCTTTTAAATAATTTGTGACAATTGGTGTTTTTTTTTTGGACTCAAGAAATGGGATATTGAAATGGACGTAAATATATAATCAATTGCAATTATGTGTGAGCATCGTGAAAAGAGGAACTGTTTTTTTATTTAGCTTTTTTGTTTTTGCAGGCCTACAATGATCTTGTATGGAATCGATAACATAAGGGATCTATTCGGGCACAAGGTATTTCTTATGAATGTCTATAGCTTTAGTTTATTAGAATTCTTTATTGGCATTTTGTTTTACACTTGGACGTTTTCTTGGTTGTCAGGTTGATCTGGGATTGATGAAGAAGAATCCCATTTGCAGAATTGGACTTGAATAGGGTTTTAATTTTACCCCAAACGCAAATTTTGAATACAATTGATTGTTTTAGTTGAATTTTTAACGAGCTAGATTTTATTTTTTTGACATCATGTTCTTTGATCTTGTGTATTTTTGTTTTTGTAATTGTTGGTTCCGAGCATTTTTTGTTTATAACTATATTTCTTCCATTTTAAGGATTAACCATAAAAATCAAGCAGGGTGTAATGCACACGAGTGAGAACGTAAAATTGCTACTCTTACATATCTAGTATGTTCAATACTTCAATGTATAATTTTACACACAAGTGCTAAGAGGCTCAAACCGCTCAATAAACTGGAGTACTTGTATTTGGCGAAGGAAGGAGGGGATAAGATTTTCAGTTTGTCATGTATCCTTATAAATCTGCAACAGAATTAGGCTGAACTTGACCATATTTGCTTAGTCAAAGATCTTGTATATGTTAAGAAAACAGTTAGATCTTCCTACATGAGCTTTTCCTATGATTAACGCAACAATGATTCATTAGCTTTTCCCATGATTAATACTGACCATGAAATTTCTATGTTGACGTTTTTTTTTATGTTGACCAAGCTTTTTTGTAAGTGTTGACAAAAAACTTACAATAATTTTTTTCTTTTCCTCTGCAATTTAGGAGATTAAAAAAAATAATAAGGTTAATTAGATCTAACGAAAACTCTGTTATTGACTCAAGAGCACATAGTTAAGGAAATAATGGAGCAAAAACAAAGGGACATAGGGAGTAGGAAATAATTCTTTTGTCAATATTTACAGTACATCAAGTAGGGGTGAGTGTAGCAGGGTACCCTGTAAACCGGCATTTGTTGCAACAGGTTCCTAAAAATAGAAACCGGAATCGGAACTTGTTCAGTAGGTTCCTAAAAATTAGGAAATGGAAACGGAACCTGCAGGTTTCGGTTTCGGAACAGGGTATCATGTCTTTGAAAGTAAGCTTAATAGTTACTTGATTGTCTAAAATATTTAATACAAAATTATAAATACTTTTATTAATACCATTAATTAAACCATTAAGAGTAAGATGAAAATTGGAAAAGAGGAAAGATAGAGGTAGGTGATATAATTTTGATATAGGGTTTTTTTATACTTGGGCTTAAATGATAGGTTTCGGTATCATATACCCTATAGGGAACCTATACTAACCGGGTACCTTACAGGTTTCGGGTTTAAAATTTTATTACCCGGAACCGGAACCTGTTACAATAGGTTCCCATTTTTATTACCTGGAACCAAAATCTGTATCGGAACCTGATCTACAGGTTCCGGTTCTTAAACCCGCGGTTCTGAGCAGGTTCCGGTTCCAGTCAAATTACCCTGGAGTTTTGCTCACCCCTAGCATCAAGACTCAAGAGCACATAATAATTCTATACATTAACAACTTTCTGCAAGGAATCAGACCAGGCCTAGTATTCGCTTTACTTGTGCAAGGAGGCCCAAGAATGTTAGCAGGGGTTGAGAAGGGAATTTTGTTAAAAGTCAGTTTTGGATGGGAGAGGGTAAAATAGTAATCCAAAAATAAATTGATTAAGGAGACTGTTTTGGAGAGAACCTTCCTCTCGAAAGAATGCTTGTATTGTAAGTCACCTTGGTTGCAATACAATTACCTTGGCTGCTATGGTTACTCTGTTTTCTTAGATTACTCTGTTCTGTTCTAAATCCTAGCACTTTCTTGAATTATCACACCATAGGTCTATATCCCAACACTGAACTTGACCAAATTATCATGTTGACTATCATTGACCATGACTTTTTAATACTTGCAACATAAGCAATATATACATACATCGTATTTAAACTTATTTAGGACAAAAATTTTACCATAATTTTGTAAGTTATTTTTCGCAATTTAGGAAGTGAAAAGAAAAAAAATAGTTTTTGAGAAAACGAGAAATAAGAATTAACACTACGTAATACATTAATATTCATTATATTCTTATTATATTCTTGTTATGTTCTAAATTATTATTCAAGAATCTCGAGCAGTCTCACTTATTCGTAGATGCAACTCGCGGTGCGGCTTGCTATTAGGCTGTTGGTCGGCCTCCGTCATCGTTGTCCCATCATGCGCCATTGATCGTGCTGCCTGCAGAATACACTCTACCAATTGTTCATGCCTCTCAAGACGTACATGTAACACCCTAAAAATTCCTTTCCTTTAAATATCCATTCTACTCTTTAAAACACGATTTAGAAATAATTAAGACATTACCGCCACCGTGAAAACGGCTAAGGCAATTATCAAAGATACACAGCGGAAGACTCAAAATTAAAAACCGTTTAAACAAGTCAAGTCAAAGGTCAACCAAACGAAAATAAAGTTTAAAACCAAACAAACAAAGTCAAATAAAATCAAACTACAACTTGGAACCATTAGAGGCCCTTATTCAAAACCGTTCCAAAACCAAACCTTTGTGTTAGTCCACATAAAATATGTCATAAATAAATAAAGCATAAAACACCTCGTAACCTAATGAAAGCTAGTAAGATTCACTCTTCTCTCATGCCCCATCATGATTATGCTTCAATACTTGAAAAATTTATCTCTACTTGTTTCCACTACTCTCCATTAAAAATGGGTCATCATAGGGCCAAGATAAAGACATGGCCAAAACACACAAACACACACAATCAGCAAAGCTGAGTACATAAGCGTAATTAAACACACTATCATGCTTTCACTTATCAACACACCCTTACCTCAATGCACCTGTGAACAAGCACACACAACATTCAACAAGACTTTTAACTAGACACTAAATAATTTATTTACCGTTGATTACGCATCGAACGAGTTTCCTCCTACTAACCTCCCCAAATAAATTGAGGTTAACTGACACGGGAGCTAACCGTGCCAGCGACAAAACCACTCAAAGGTGGCGGAATTCCTGCGCATAATAATAATTAAAAAGGAATGTACAGCGTCCGGTACTCCATTAGAAGTTATGGTTAAATGTAAAACCCCATAACTCCCCCCATTGTTCATACTCAAGGTATATACGTTCCAAGAGTTTTGGTGCGTAATCTCTTTCACTTTACGTTATTTACCTTTTATTAGACTTGGTGATGACTCTCAAAGCATCAGAAAACAATCAACAATAATTATTCAATTAACCACACGTACCAAATTAATTCTTGAACACTTAGTGACCACATATTATTTAATGTTGAACCCTTTTAATTCTACCTCAGTGTCAAAGACACCTTAAACGCATAATGCGCCAAAAATCCTATCCCTCGGTGTTAAAAACACCTTAAGTGCACAAAGGCACCAACATACAATTTATTCCTCGTGTACATAGACACTTATATAGCTCATTCCTCATGCTTAAAGCATCAATAAAAATTATTTGAACCATAATAAAATTCCTTTTCAATTTTACAAACATAATTAAACATGTAGTTTAATTAATCATGCCTTCTAACGTGCCATAAATAAAAATGTGGTTCAAACACAACATGCCCAAAATATAATTTTCCAATCCACAACCATCACAAATAATTCATGCTTCACAATTCAATCACCAACACCATTAATTCACAATTCCATACATAAACCTTAGCATGATACTACTTGTAACTGATTGAAATCAAGCCTAGCATGATTCTACATCATCAAAATATGCTAAGTACGCGAACGTACCTCAAATAAGCTCTTAAAATAACATAGTACTCTACAACAATTCTCGAACCAAGTCTCCTACATAAAGGGACAATAATACTATATTAATTACCCTTGTATACATAATTTCCAGCAACTTAAACTCACTTTAAAATAACTTATAATAATCTGAAAATTATTTAAAAACCCCTAATTAAACTCCTTTTTAATGGATAATCACACCCTTTTATTAAAAATCACAATTATACTACTTCAAATAAAATTCCAACATTTTAAACTAATCAAAAATCCTTTAAAACTTCATCAAAATACATCTTTATACTTAAATTATCCATGAAAACATTAAATTATCTCTGATAGAGAATATCCATAGAATATTCTCATCATAGGTTTAGGATATATTTTGTATAATATTATCTTTGATATCTATACATATCTTATGTTACCTAATATGATTAGGTTTCTCATTGTAACCCTATTAGGTAACATAAGATATGTATAGATATCAAAGATAATATTATACAAAATATATCCTAAACCTAAGATGAGAATATTCTATGGATATTCTCTATCAATCTCTTACCCCTTTTAAACTCAAGGATTAAATTTAAAGCATAAAAAAAATAAAAAAAAAACTTCGTTAAAAATCAAAAACTGCCCGAAAATCATATTTAGAGGGTGGAGCTCACTACCAAAGGTAGTGAATCTTTCTTAAAACGTTGTTTCCACAAGAAAAACACTACTTTTTTTTTTATCAAAATTGGACGAGTTCAGAATCTGATCGGGATTAAAACGGGATTAATATTAAAGAACGGAAATCTAATTATTAAAACATGAATTTACATGTTCAAAATAAATCTGGAATTAAGTTAAACTAATCAGTAGTTATAATCACCAAAATTTCTAAACATCATTACTATAAAAGCTCTAATTCAACTGTTCATAAAAACCCTAATCATGATTTTCAATAATTAAAAACCCTAGGTTATAAAATTTACATAATCTGAAAATTATAAAGTTTAATCATCAAAATACAATTTGATACTAATTAAATTAATTTCAAACAATAAAATCAAAACCCATACATCAATAATTATAATTACACAAATTAATAAAACAAAGGAGAGAGAAAATAAGACTAACCTTTTTGTGTGGGAAATTTTTGGGGATTCATGGGGTATTTATAGAGTAGAGAGTGTAGGGTTAAATTTGGGCTTATAAAAATATGGGCTTGAGTTATGGGATAGGGCTTAAGTTATAGGTTTTGGAATGGGTTATTCCAATAAGAGTATGTAGGAATAATTTACATTGTCCAATAATTAATAAACGTTTGGCTCAAAACATATTTTACTTTTATATAAAACTTTATATTTAAAATAATTTAACCCTTTAAAATATTTAATTAAAATACTTGAGCCCTTGACAATACATTTTATTAATACTTAAATACTTTATAAAATACATAAAAATACGGGGTATTACAGTACATGTGTTGTTTGAGTGGTACGACGTGTGTGATTCACCCACTGCAACGGAAAGTGGATGTATGGGGAGATATCGGAAATTATATTCGATACATGAGCCCATGAGCGGGAACTAGGGCTAGCA